AGCCCATCGAGCCAGTGGTGGAGCTTCATGCTCTGGCATCAGGGGGCGGAGAGCAGGCAGGGGCAGGGCTGGCGTGCGTCCGGGGGTGAGGCGCACCGCCCGCAGGGGTGTGGTACATGTCCTGGGGGTGGGGCGGGCCGCCTGCAGGGGCGTGGCGCCCAGCGCAGGCAGGGAGACAGCCACAATGGAACCCCACTGGGATCACGCTGCCAGGGGCGGTGCGCTCCCCCCTCACTCCTCTTCCTCTGCCAGTGCATAGAGCTTTAATATAAACATGTTTATAGGTCATTCAGAGCACTGATCAGTTGGTTAGGTGTATTGGGAATGACTCTCATTCCAACTGCAGCTTGACTCAAAAGTAAGTCATACTGATTTCAACAGGATTTACTTCCTAGCGAAAATGCATAGTGCAGTGAGTTATTTGCACACTATACCTTCTTGCTAGTACCATTTAGATAAGAAGCACATTTCCTGAAGTAGAGTCATAGAATTGTACAGTTGGAAGGGAACATGAGGGTCTTCTAGTCGACCCCCCTGCAGGAATCTTTTGCCCAACATGTGGTTCAAACCCACAACCCTGAGGTTAAGAGAATCATGTTCTATTGACGGAGCTATCCCAGTTGCTGTGTATTACTCATTCCCCTTACTCTTTCCTCATATGATTAGCTTTCAAGACAACAAGACCCCAGGATTATATTGGCTGTTTCTTGAGCGTTCATTCTGATTTGCTTGCAGGGAGGTTGTGCAACATTACATCAAGCAACTGCTCTCTCACAATTTCAAGGGCATTTTCCTATCACTTTCCTTATCACAAAAAGTCTGGGTGGTTTTGTTTGTTTGTTTGGGGATGTTGTTGTTGTGCAAGAGTACCTGAATTTGCTAGTATATGACAGAACTTCACCCAAAATTAGTGGCAGTCTGGAAGTGCCCTGTGTTACTTCCAGCTTCACAAATAACAACAAAACACAAAAATGTTAGTTGAGACTGGAAGCAAAGACTGCTGGTCTCCTCATCTGGTTCAGCTGCTCAGAGAAGAGAGGAGAGGAAGTGTACAATTCCAAGGCTCATGCATGCATGCAACACAAAACTATGGTCTAGCTGCTCAAGCTCAGTCAATTTCTCTAGAAGCCACCAGAAATGGGTACTACTTATTTCATAGTTCTGTGAGTTCTGTAAGCTGAAGTTTCTTCAGTTATGAAGGAGTGCATCCCAGTTCAAGAAAAAGAATGTAATAATAATAATAATAATAATAATAATAAAATTCACACATTGTAGAACACTTGGCCACTATTAAGACCTCACTCAATCAAACATTCCTACATATATTGCTCTGATCCCCACGTTCTTCAAATGTCAAGGAAATCAACTGGACTAAAAAAATAATCTCCTGAATACTACCCCACTGTTAACTTCTTCAGTGTACTTTTTATAGCCATTCCTATTTCCTTTTTCTAAGCACTTCATCCAGTGAGGGATTCTTATCCTCATATCACAACTTCGCAAGCTTGTGAATAAGCATTCATGTGAAAATGCCTTGAATGCCTTCAAGGAAATATGAGCACATAACTTTTGCTCCATTCCTCTTAACTGTGGGTATTAACATGCTGAGAATATTTTGATAAGATGCCACATGATTGAGAATCCAGATTTTCAAATTTCAAAAGGTTCAAAGTCCAGGTGTGCTTTGGAAAATTAATCATCCCACTTATTTAAACTGCCCAGACCCCTGGCACCTGTAAAATTGAGTAGCTGTTCCTTAAAAAACAGCCTGTCTACATGATTTCCTGCTCTAGAGTCAGGCAAAGATTAAAGTGAAGTGAATAATATTTCTGCAGTATTTCAGAACTTTAGAAATAGATTGCCTATGGCCATCCTGTGGAAATACAACTCTTACTCCAAACTGGCTCATCCAACACAAAAAGGTGAAACATATATTGGCTATATCTCTATGTTATGAGCATGATCTCACCTTTATCCAAGTCTCATTGATTTCAACAGGAAAACGTAAAATTCATTTAAATTACTACCACTGAAATCAGTTAGATGAGAGGTTCATTTTTCTTGGATTGCGCTTCTTATTTTCCCTCAAGAATTTCCTGTAAATATGCTTCTTCTTCAGCACTAATTTCTAAGAAAGGTGTCTTTTGTTTTAATTTGTGCTTTTTTGTTTTATGCTCATCACATTTTTTTTTTCTTTTTACTGGATAATAACCAAGGCTAGTAATAATCAGACCTATTTTTATAGGTAGGTCTGCTCTGAGTATGACAAACATTGGGTATCAGCTCCTGAAATATTTATGCAAACCATTCTGGAATTTGATCTTATTTTATTGGATGAAGGGTAGCACATAAATTAAATTGAAATAATATAACATCAGCCCATTATTAGCAATTCCATTGTTTAGATTATTTGAATTACGAGCCAGTCACTGTGTCAAGATCTCGCCTTTTCTCAAATCCTGACCTGTTGCTATTTGGAGAAGTTCTATTATACTCACCATAGTCCGGAATAAAATGTGTTTCCCCCCTTGAGCCATTGATATCCGTGGCTACCTTGACTTACACTGTATCAGGCCAATGGTCCCTCTAATCCAGGGGTCCTCAAACTTTTTAAACAGGGGGCCAGTTCACTGTCCCTCAGACACTGTTGGGGGCCGGACTATAGTTTGAAAAAATATATATGAACAAATTCCTATGCACACTGCACATATTTTATTCATAGTGCACAAAAAACAGGAAAAACAATACAATATTTAAAATGAAGAACAATTTTAATCAACATAAACTTATAAGTATTTCAATGGGAAATATTCTGTGGCTGCCACACTTCTGTCACTCGCCTCACGCAGTGCAGCCGAAGGAACTCTCAGCCACGCACTATAGAGAGAGAGAACGCAAAAACGCCGGCCAGCCTGCTGCGTGTGTGCAGGATTGCATCATCCCTCCTCTTGCACACGCACCGCCCCCCCTTCCCGCAACCAATCAATCAACCAACCATTTGTGGTATCAATGGACGCCGCATACAGAGGTCATGCTCGCACACTGGACACTGTACTTCCTTTTGCCATAGACCCATTAGATAGCAGCGGGTTCTGCAATTGCTGGGCAGGCTGAGTTCAGGACCATAGTTTGAGGACCCCTGTTCTAATCTAGCACTGGCTTCTCTAATGGGAGTAGCAGTGGCAACAGCAGACAGGATACCACCTGACTTGATGGTATTTATTTTAGTTAAAAAAGACTCAATTACAAACTAACTAACACAACAAGCATGTGAAGTGACATACATTTCACTTTCTTACTTATTTGGAGTGCTTAGTCAGAAATCACTCCAACTGATTCCAATGGGACTTCCAGGTAAGTGTGCTTTGGATCAAAGCTTTAGTTCAATTGACTTACAGAGAAATCCGATATTCTATTCAGGTCAGCTGCATTAAGGCCCTTGTGCTTGCAGGTCTTTAAATAAATATGCTGGTAAAGCACCAGGGTTATGTCAATTTAGGGTTATGTTGATCAGAGTTTTTGTTGGGTTTTAAATTCACAAAGCACAAAAACCAAAAGTCACCCCCTCAGCCAATGTTTTAGAAATGCCCATAAATTCTGAACTACCTGTGTGTGCCTTACTATTTTCCCTCTGTCAGCCATGCCCTCATTTTGCTACAAGCTTTTCATATATGTGCTTGCATAGATATAGATATAGATATAGATATAGATATAGATATAGATATAGATATAGATATAGATATAGATGAGTGTGTAGAAATATATACACATATAACATTAACACTTTGACCTCTGATAACTGGGTTGGCAATATATTTATGGCCATTCCATCTATCATCTATCTATCTATCTATCTATCTATCTATCATCTATCATCTATCATCTATCATCTATCATCTATCATCTATCTATCTATCTATCTATCTATCTATTAGGTGCCATCATGCATAATGCTTACATTGTTTCCATTATGCACATATTTTGGATAAACACAGCCACTATTGTGTTGAATATAGGTAATATAGTAGCAACTGTGCACAATTGTCAACCAGAGGTGTATGAAGAAACAGTGCTTTTGTGAAAATTTCCCACAGCTCTTTCCTTATACATGAGCATTTCTTAAACTTAAACTGTCACTTGAAAAAGGGAAAGGCTGAAATTCTAATGTTAATATTTTTGCCAGCCTTCACTGAGCATGGCTGTGTGCTTTTCAAATGACAAACTCAAATGACAGTTCATACATCTGAAAGTTTGCACATCAATCTTTTGAAATGTGAGCTTTAAGTGATGCCAGTCAAATTTGGCTGTTGGACAGGCGTGAAGCAACATTTTGCATACAAAGTCTTGAGTCAAAGTTTCTTCATGACTCTGGACTGATCATACACCAAGTGAGATTTACCTTGGCCTTGGCAGACAAGAAAAAAAGTAAAATAAAATGGAAAAGGCCTGTTGTTTAACCTCCTTATGCAGTTATCCAGAGTTTCCTCATGCTTTCTCCTTAAGCCCTACAGGTAGTTGGAAGGGAAATGAACAATACTGTATCTTCTTTTGCTTTTTCAACAAATCAGAGGATGTTTCTTTCTTTTATGTAGAAGCAGACCTGCTCTGAAAAAGAAAAAGTGGTTGGATATTCCTCTTCATTGTACCTAGGGACATCAACCACTTCTATTTATGTTTACGTGACAATGGATTGAAATGGAATTGAGAACCCTTTCAGGAAAGTTTCTTCAGCAGAGGACTGTTATCTGTAGATGAGAACACGTGGCTACCCTAGTTTGCCTTCGGGGAGGCTCAATGCCTTTTCTTCTGAAATATGTCAAAATGGAACCCTTACAATTGCAGGTTTATTTTTTGTTTCTTTGGAGGGGCAGCTTTGCCATTGGCAGAGTTAGAAATCCAACTATTCACATACCAGAATTTCCTGTTAAGACTGAGCAGTGGCACTCTTGGCTGTAAGAAATTATAACTGGATACTGTATTCCTTCCAGTAGCACCTTATAGACCAACTAAGTTTGTTATGGGTATGAGCTTTCGTGTGCATGCACACTTCTTCAGATACACAGTGTGCATGCACATGAAAGCTCATACCCATAACAAATTTAGTTGGTCTCTAAGATGCTATTGGAACTGGAAGGATTTTTAAAATTTTGTTTCGACTATAGCAGACCAGCATGGCTACCTACCTGTAACTGGATACTGCGTGTGGTTGCTAAAAGTAAAAATTACACTTAGGTTGGCAAGGAGCCAGCTTACTTTTATATTAGTTTATGTGTGAATTTTGTTATTTTCCTCTTGCTGAAGCCTCTTTGTGACATACAGTAGAAACAGATTAAAAACTATTTAAAAAGCAGGACAAGCCAAGCAGCAAAAAAATAAAAATAAAATAAAAAATGAGCAAACCAAAACAAGAAAAAGAAGGGGGGGAAAACCCCTTGCAATCCTGACACAGATGTACCAACTCTTAAAAAAAAACAAAAACCAAACAGAAAACTGTTGGTAACCCAGTTTTCTTTAAGAGGTTCATACCTACCATTGTATCATATGAGATGCATGGTAGACTTGCCTAAATAGCAATTCCTGTGCTCTTATGTTTGCATGGTTGCATGCAGTTCAACACCATCTGTGGATCTGAATTGCAAGGTGACACTCAAGCAGCTGTTCCACCCTATAATTCCCACATACGTCTAATGATAATCAAATTTGTTTTGATGTTATAATCACTATGTTGATTGATGCCATCGATCTGACACTCCTAACACTCATTACAAGAATCCTAGCATTATTTGTGGGAAGTTCAAAATAGGTCAAGAGTGTATTAAGTATATTGCCATTTCCCGAAAAATAAATGACTCATTGATCTTCTGTTCCTCTACCTTATGATGAGTTAAAAGGTTACTTTCCCAATGAGAGCAGTATACCATGAGAAGTGCAATAGGAACTATTGATGAGATGTCTAAGGAAAATATATGTAATTTGATACCTGGATGAAATTACTTGCAGTATCCATTTTGGCCCTTCACAACTGAAAGGTTTTTCTTCTTTGTTGTTTTTTTGTTTTAAAATCCTCTCAATCCATGCTATGCAGGCTGATTTCATAAATCATAACTGAATCATGCTTAAGCAACTTGCTTTCTGATCCGCTTTTTCACTTTCTTAGTGAAGAACATCATTGTTCATTTGTCACCTGTTCTTCAAAATGCCTCTGCAATTATTTGTCATTTTTTATTGTTCCCTCAATCCCTGTGAATTGCTTACTTGCTCAAAACACAAATAGGAATGTTTTGAATAGGAATACAATCCTCAGGACAGGTCCTCAGAACATTATGAAAACAGTATTATCCTCATATCGCTTGCCACATATTATGGACATTTGCATCACCCACAGTTATAACCTGCCACTTGGAACCCAAAGTGGTGTAGAAGTGGTTCTGAGGCAGGAACTGACCAGACCCAGATCTCCTTAACTTCAACAAGGTGTCATAAGACCAATTGGTGCCTGGCCTCTCCTTTCCCTACTCTCCTTCTGCCCTCTCCTATTGGCTCTGAAGGGTAAAAATAAATAAATAAATCCCTTTGTACAAGCCATGGTGGGAAAAAGGGGGTCTATTCCATCTGGCAAGTTGAAATGCAGTAAAAGATGAAAGCGTGATCAAGAGAGTATGTGACTGAATTCCTCTCAAAGAGAAACATGACAGCTTTTATATTAGAAAAGCTGGAGATTAATTTTAAGTGACCTTGATATATATAAGAAAAGTCAATAGAAGCAAATGGGGTAGCATTATCCACTTGATGTGAAGGCCTGTAAGATACAAAAAGCAACATCTTCAGATGGTAAAAAGTCATCCTTCATCCAGTTGTAGAATCCCCCTTCTACATCAATATATTCACAACAGAGATTTCCTTAGCTAATTGCTTGAATCTAGTTAGTACAGCATGCTAAAATGGAATTTTTCTTTTATATTTTATTTAGAACAAATTAATAAAAATGGAAAATAACTGGTAAAAAAGCAACTGCATATGTAGACTGTAGTGAGCAAAACACGTAAATAAACACTTAGGACATTTAGATTGTTTGTATACTCCATTCGTCTCACTTCCTGGCTCATCATCTTGTCATGGTGAGTGGGCTTGCACATTCCTATGATCCTTGTGAGTAAAGCTTGAATTCAGGACGAAAAGGAGAAACGTGCTAAGAGGAAGACATGTTTGGCAAACCCTCACCATGATCAACTCCTGCCCAGAAACCAATGTCCCCACTGTGGAACAACGTGTGGATCCAAAATTGGCCTCTACAGTCACTTACGGACTCACTGTTAAAACTGTGTTCATGGAAGACAATCTAATTCGGCTACAAGTGATCACCAAAGAAGAATACTCCAGTCCTAACCATATAATCCAATGTATCTGCAATGTTCATATTTTGTGATTCTGCACTCTGAATAGCATGTCTACTCTGAATATTCTAAGGCCAAAACATTTCTGACAATTTTTTTTTTTTTTTTAGTTCTTCCTGAACTGTTCAAGAATTTCAGTCCACTCCCAGATAATATTTTGTGACATAGCCTCACCAGTTTCCCAACGTGATTTTTGGGTGCAACCATGGAGCCAATTTTAATATTGTGTAACAGCCTAGGCAGCTACCCTTTCCATCCTCTTCTCTTAGCCTATTGCTTCTTTCTTCCACCAGTATGAACTGACAAAAGAATTTCATTAACTAACAGCTGAAATTACTCAGAAGAGAGTAATTTCCCAATACACATATATGTGGCAAAATCTCCTCACTCCAATTTCACTACCCACAAGCAGCATGGAAGCTTGAAGGAAGCCATTTCCATTCAGACCTAGAACATCCATATCTGACAGGTTTTAGGATACTTTCAGATGACAGAGTTTGTGGGTTATGAGCATTCTGAATCACCATGCTGTTTGGGGATCTGGTCTCCTGCTACCCTCACCTAGGTGGAATCTACACACCTATAAAAAACACTGTGAAAATGCTTTAAAAAAAAAAAAGTTTTGGAAAATGTATTGAATTTTCCATAGCTCACTGTCACCATCTAGTGCCACATTTGTATACTGCACTTTACAACATACCTAAAATGTTTGCTGTATTGCTGTATCGCTGAGTCCTTAGTAGCAGAAGCATCTAAGCAAAGAAAGACCTGCAAAACTAAAGTGCCTTTCATCAGTCTACTACAAAACCCCTTCTCAATCCATAAGTATTTTAAAAAATACATCTGAGTCTGTCTACTTCTTGCACTGAAGTAGATTTATTGAATAGTATTTGTTGTTGTTTTGAGTATTTGCTGTTGTTTTGGAGAAATGTACAGTTTTAATGCCATTAAACCCAATGCAATAACACAATTAAAAACAGAAAAAAATCCCTTCAGGTAGAAGAAACCAAGGCTGAAAAAATGCAAATGAAGTGAGGACAAATAAAGGTCCAGATATCATAATTTGGAGTGTACATAATCCACAAATTCAGCCAGCTAGACTAGGTTTGCATGCTTCAGTTACGAACCAATGTAGCAGAACTACAGGTCAAGATGAGGACAATCAAAATATCATGAACACATCTGAAAATGCCAATGTTTGTATCCTCTAATGGAGAAACCCAAGACATGGGTTACTGAGCTAATAAACAAACACATCGCTGATTTTTACTGCCAGGGGGGAAAAAATCACCTATGATCTTGCATTTAGATTGATGCATAAATGTTTGTGCCTGTGCTAGCATACAAATATTCCCAAGCACACCTGAGTGCCAACTCAGAAACTTCACTTTAAAAGCTGCTTCCTCAAAGTCTTGCCGGTCTTCTCTTTGTAACACATGCATGGCACCTCTAACACACGACACTCATCCCACATGAACAGCCCCTGTAGTTGCACAGCTCAAACAGTTGTCAATACACTTTAAATCTGATGGAGAAGCTGCCCACAGACAAAATCAATATTTTCAATTGCATCTTATTCCTAACACCATGTTTCAAGCCAATTGTACATTCGCTCATCCACGATTTAACATCAGTTCTCAGCGCACTAAGGGTGTGCATTTTAAAAATAGAATGAAACCAATGTACTCCATTTCTTCCATTCGCTTTAATTATAAAAAAGGAATGGGCATTCAAATGAATCTGTTCCAAAGGAACGTTCCATTCAGAAGTCATTTGATTCATGAAGAACTTGCTGGTCTGAATTGGAGTGCAGGGACGGCTTGTACAGGTCATAATGCAAAGTTAAGCACAAAGGCACTAAGTGAGTGGGCAAGCACTGAAACTGACAGGCCGGAAAGCTGTACAACATACAGTGCTTCTTTTTCTAAGGGTACCGAAGGGTATGCAATACTGGCAGCTTTTTCCCTAGAAGAAAAACACTGGTTAAAAGTGTGGCATGAGTGGGGGAGACAATCAAGGCAGTCTATAAAAGTGGATAGCACCTGCTTCACTGTGCATATGTTTGTTCTTTCTCTGTATGCAACTTCTCTTCCTGTGCTAGATAAGCCCATCCATTGTTCCACTGCTTCTTTAGTCTTGGCTCACCACAACTGTGGTATTCAGATGAGCATCAGATTCCAACCATTCAACCACCAGCCATTTATGCAGTTGCCTGTACATATCTAACTTTAAGACTGTTATCTCTGTAAATGATAATGTTAGAGTAGGTATCTACAATAACTATTAGGTGCATAGCTCTGGCAGAGTTTTAAGCTCACCTTGGGAAGTGTAAAACATTTTGGCTTACTTCCTAAAATGCAATTAACGCTGTATTTTTAAGATTATGATAGTCCCGCTGTTACTCTTCCTATCCCTCTGAGTTCAAAATTTTCATAAGGATGTACTATATGCATCCAGGGATGCTTGTCACAATATACTTTGTACCTTGACGTAGATTTTTGTGTACAAAATAGATGCTGATACTGTACTACTTGTGAAAAATGAATGCTTGTTTGAATATATGCTTGAAACTTTAATAAAATGTACATGTGAGGCCACAATGCTCTTCTGGTTTTGGCTTTCAGTGGGGGAAGATGTGATTTACCAGTGCATGTGTCCTGATGTATCTATTACCTAGTGCTAATACTGGAGTACAAAACTAATTCTCTATCTTTACAGATACCATGGGGTTACGCATGCATTTACATCAGTATACATGAGTCTTAGAACTGTTACTTTGTGGCAAGAGTGAGGAACCAGGGGACTGAGGGTTGCATGCAGCCCTTGGCTGAATTTCATGTGCGTGGGTAGGCAAGGATTGGAGGCAGAAAAGTAGGGTGGGTGGGAAATTGCAAAAGAGATAGAGTTGGTAGCTGCAATACCACACTCAGGCCATCTGCAGTGGTGGTGCTGCAGAGAAAAGTCAGCAGCTCCTTCCTAGTGATGTGGGAAATAAGGTGTCTGGCTCCTACTATAAGGTTCCTGGTGTCCTAGAATGTATTTTTTGTTGTTGTTGTTGATTGGTACCAGTGTGCAATAATTTTATCATTGCACTTACAAGCAGGAAGAAGTATTTATGGGAGGCCCAAGTACATCCTAATATAAAAACAACATTACCAGTTTCTTCTTCACAAGAGATATAAGCCACCACATTCAAATAATTATGCCCAGTTATTATCTAGTACAGGCACACTATGTTTAAACCAATACACTAATTTATTTTACATTCTTCAAAGAATAATGACAGTATCTGTTCTCCATAGCTACAATAGACCCTACTTTACATTTCCATAACTCGTCAAAGAAACTGTCATAGCACACTAAATTTTCACCTGTTTAAAATGGATCGTTGACTTTTAGAGCACCTGGGACAAGATGAATGCTTTAATTGACTTTCTTTGCTCCCCAGATAAAAAGAGCAACAGCTACTCCACAATAACCTTGGTAGAAAATTTGGCAGCTTAGCTCAAAAGGGCTTCTAGCTTTCTTTTCTTTAGTTTTCTTTTTTTTTAAGCTGAAAAAGAAGAAAATCAAAATATCTTTTTGTATACATTACTCGTTGCAAGCAGTGCCAAGGGAATTTTATATCATTCTTTAGGGTCTTCGTGAAAGTGTTTTTTATTTCAAATGAGTTTTTAAAAACAACAGCCCTCCATTTTCAGCATCTCTATAATTTTACACTGTCTCTTAAACATTCCTTTAAAAAAAACCCCAAAACTTCAGAAAAAGCATTCTGAAGTGAAACCATAAGCAACCATTCATTTAATAGCTACCAGCTTGCAAGTGCAAAAAAACAGGGTAGAAAAATTCATGGAAAAGCCTATCACTGGCTACTAATAGTGATGATTATGTTGCACTCCATTGTCAGAAGCAGCTCTGACTACCAGTTGCTGGGAGGTATAAGCGAGTAAAATCATGTTGTGCTCAAGTCCTGCTTGCAGGCTTTCCATATGTATCTGGCTGGCTGCTGTGATAACAAGTTTTTTCCCCTCTTTGTTAAAACACACACTCATAAGAATGTTTGGCTATATAATGGATATCGTAACTGCATTTTAGAGCAATATCCCCAATATCTACCCCAAAGGCAAAAGAGATACTGCAATTTTCCTGGGAGAACCACTAGAAAATAGGGAGAGTAGAGACTGCATGCAATTCCTTCCAAAGTTAGGCTTCGTGCAACACATGTAACAGGAGCATTGCCTGGAGCATTCAAATAACTAAAGAAGGTGAGCACCGTATGTAGTTCTAGGGAGCTTCAGAACTTCTTCTGTATGCACCAAAACTCTAGGCCTTTGAAAATCTTAGACTGATCCAAAACCTATTAAGCAGGATGGGTGTCAAGGCCCAGCACAGTCAGGCATCTGCCATGGGCTAGTGCCCAGCAAGCGGCCTACTGACCTGAGTCTCTTGACCTTACTAACTGCAGTCAGGAAAAGGCAAATCTGCAATAGTGAGTGGAGAAATACAAGGCATGATATCATCAGCTCTTGTACAGAATCTGTGTTGCCAACAAATAAGACAAGAACAGACTGCACTCAAGTAATGTATTGTTAAAATATGCTATGGAGCATTTTCCTGCTTTGTGCTATATGTAATTGCATGGAAATGAACTCTAGAAAGCACCTTTCCATGATGTTTTAGACCAGGCATGTCTGACAGGTCGATTGCAATCTATTGGTCGATCGTGGTGTGTTCCTTGTTGATCCTGGTCGATCTTTGGTTCTTGACCTCCAAACCCTCTCCCCCCAAAAAAACCATCCTCCCTAAAAAAAGCTCAACAATGGGTAGATCTCAGTTTCTTGGGAGTTAGAAGTGCCTGTTTAGACTACTATGATTTTCTAGAAAAGAACTCTGCTTTGACCTTGAGTAAGTGTCAAGTAAGTTGAGTAAGTGATCCTTCATGGATCACTGCCTCCCCTTCATGGATCACTGCCTTGCCGTGGCGAAGGGGCTTGAATAACTCAGAGAAGCTATGAGCTATGCCGTGCAGGGCCACCCAAGATGGACAGGTCATAGTGGAGAGTTTTGACCAAACGTGATCCACCTGGAGCAGGAACCGGCAAGCCACTCCAGTATCCCTGCCAAGAAAACTCCATGGACAAAGACAACAGGCATATAAAAGTTATGACACTGGAAGATGAGCCCCTCAGGTCGGAAGGCGTCCAACATGCTACTGAGGAAGAGCAGAGGACAAGTACAAGTAGATTCAGAGCTGATGAAGCAGCTGGGCCAAGGCCGAAAGGACGCTCAGTTGTGGATATGCCTGGAAGCGAAAGGAAAGTCCAATGCTGTAAAGAAAAATATTGCATAGGAACCTGGAATGTAAGAACCATGAACCAGGGTAAGTTGGATGTGGTCAAAAATGAGATGGCAAGAATAAATATTGACATCCTGGGCATCAGTGAACTAAAATGGACGGGAATGGGTGAATTCAGTTCGGATGACCATCATATCTACTATTGTGGGCAAGAATCCCGTAAAAGAAATGGAGTGGCCCTCATAGTCAACAAAAGAGTGGCGAAAGCTGTACTGGGATGCAATCTCAAAAATGATAGAATGATCTCGATACGAATCCAAGGCAGACCTTTTAACATCACAGTAATCCAAGTTTATGCACCAACCACTGGTGCTGAAGAAACTGAAATTGACCAGTTCTATGAAGACTTACAACACCTTATAGAAATGACACCAAAGAAGGATGTTCTTCTCATTATAGAGGATTGGAATGCTAAAGTAGGGAGTCAAGAGATAAAAGGAACAACTGGCAAGTTTGGCCTTGGAGTTCAAAACAAAGTAGGGCATAGGCTAATAGAGTTCTGCCAAGAGAACAAGCTGGTCATCACAAACACTCTTTTCCAACAACACAAGAGACGACTCTACACATGGACATCACCAGATGGGCAGCATCGAAATCAGATTGATTATATTCTCTGCAGCCAAAGATGGAGAAGCTCTATACAGTCAGCAAAAACAAGACCTGGAGCTGACTGTGGCTCAGATCATCAGCTTCTTATAGCAAAATTCAAGCTTAAACTGAAGAAAGTAGGAAAACCACTGGGCCAGTAAGATACAATCTAAATCAAATCCCTTATGAATACACAGTGGAAGTTAGGGACAGGTTTAAGGATTTAGATTTGGTGGACAGATTGCCTGAAGAACTATGGATGGAGGCTCGTAACATTACACAGGAGGCAGCAACGAAAACCATCCCAACAAAAAGGAAATGCAAGAAAGCAAAGTGGCTGTCCAGTGAGGCCTTACAAATAGTGGGGGAGAGAAGGCAAGCAAAATGCGAGGGAGATAGTGAAAGATACAGGAAATTGAATGCAGATTTCCAAAGAATAGCAAGGAGAGACAAGAAGGCCTTCTTAAACGAGCAATGCAAAGAAATAGAGGAAAACAATAGAATGGGAAAAACCAGAGATCTGTTCAAGAAAATTGGAGATATGAAAGGAACATTTCGTACAAAGATTACCATAATAAAAGACAAAAGTGGAAAGGACCTAACAGAAGCAGAAGACATCAAGAAGAGGTGGCAAGAATACACAGAGGAACTATACCAGAAAGAAATGGATGTCTCGTATACCCCAGGTAGTGTGGTTGCTGACCTTGAGCCAGACATCCTGGAGAGTGAAGTCAAATGGGCCTTAGAAAGCACTGCAAATAACAAGGCCAGTGGAAGTGATGGTATTCCAGCTGAACTATTTAAAATTTTAAAAGATGATGCTGTTAAGGTGCTACACTCAATATGCCAGCAAGTTTGGAAAACTCAGCAGTGGCCAGAGGATTGGAGAAGATCAGTCTACATCCCAATCCCCAAGAAGGGCAGTGCCAAAGAATGCTCCAACTACCACACAATTGCACTCATCTCACACGCTAGCAAGGTTATGCTTAAAATTCTACAAAGCAGGCTTAAGCAGTATGTGGACTGAGAACTCCCAGAAGTGCAAGCTGGATTTCGAAGGGGCCGAGGAAGCAGAGACCAAATTGCAAACATGCGCTGGATTATGGAGAAAGCTAGAGAGTTCCAGAAAGACATCTACTTCTGCTTCATTGACTATGCAAAAGCCTTTGACTGTGTCGACCACAGCAAACTATGGCAAGCTCTGAAAGAAATGGGAGTGCCTGATCACCTCATCTGTCTCCTGAGAAATCTCTATGTGGGACAAGAAGCTACAGTTAGAACTGGATATGGAACAACTGATTGGTTCAAAATTGGGAAAGGAGTACGGCAAGGCTGTATATTGTCTCCTGCTTATTTAACTTATATGCAGAATTCATCATGCGAAAGGCTGGGCTGGATGAATCCCAAGGTGGAATTAAGATTGCCGGAAGAAATATCAACAACCTCAGATATGCAGATGACACAACCTTGATGGCAGAAAGTGAGGAGGAATTAAAGAACCTTTTAATGAGGGTGAAAGAGGAGAGCGCAAAATATGGTCTGAAGCTCAACATCAAAAAAACAAAGATCATGGCCACTGGTCCCATCACCTCATGGCAAATAGAAGGGAAAGAAATGGAGGCAGTGAGAGATTTTCCTTTCCTGGGCTCCATGATCACTGCAGATGGTGACAGCAGTCACGAAATTAAAAGACTCCTGCTCCTTGGGAGAAAGGCGATGGCAAACCTAGACAGTATCTTAAAAAGCAGAGACATCACCTTGACAACAAAGGTCCGTATAGTTAAAGCCATGGTTTTCCCAGTAGTGATGTATGGAAGTGAGAGCTGGACCATAAAGAAGGCTGATCGCCGAAGAATTGATGCTTTTGAATTATGGTGCTGGAGGAGACTCTTGAGAGTCCCATGGACTGCAAGAACATCAAACCTCTCCATTCTTAAGGAAATCAGCCCTGAGTGCTCACTAGAAGGACAAATCGTGAAGCTGAGGCTCCAGTACTTTGGCCATCTCATGAGAAGAGAAGACTCCCTGGAAAAGACCCTGTTGTTGGGAAAGATAGAGGGCACAAGGAGAAGGGGACGGCAGAGGACAAGATGGTTGGACAGTGTTCTCGAAGCTACAAACATGAGTCTGACCAAACTGCTGGAGGCAGTGGAAGACAGGAGTGCCTGGCGTGCTCTGGTCCATGGGGTCACGAAGAGTCGGACATGACTATACGACTAAACAACAACAAAGTGTCAACAAAGGGATTGGCTCTTCTGGATAGAATTCAGAAGGGACCTGCAACTAATTAGAAACACCCACTTTCCTCCTTGATATCCACTTCTGAGAACAGGGCATTTTATAGCTAATTATCTGACCAAACTCTCACCAGTTTCCCGAAGGCCTTTATTGAGCTGTGTTTCCAAGTGATGCCCATGGCAGTCTTGGATGGCCACTACTACAAGGTCCTGTACATACTTTGTATTTGCGGCCAACATCAGGTGGAAGACACCAGCCTGCCCCTTACATAGAGACCCAAGAGATCAATTTCTGACACTTTTGTTTGCACAAGCAAACTCCAGCAGAAATAGCCTAGTTTCTTTTGAGTGACAACAATAGTTTTCTAACACAAAGGATGGCCCCTCTAGGCAACTGGATGGGGGGGGGAGGAGTTAGATGAAATTGCTATAAATTGTTGTGGTGATTCAGAGGTTTAACTTGAAATGAAGCTGGATTTGAGTTTGTTGGAATCTCTGGTAACTTCTCTCTTTTATCATAGATGTTGGCTCATATTATGAATGTCTTGTTGTCTGTATTGTTTTATTTGTACTGCTGCTGCATGTTTGTCACGGCATTTGGCTAGAACTATCAACTTGTATATTGATTCACTGAGGGAGGGTGGGGCAAGTTGGCCCATTTTTTTGCTCCAGGTCCAGAAGTGGCTCATGAGGTGGGGAGGAGTCACAATGCTAGCTTCCTGGCATTGGTACTGTTTACCAGGGTGAAGAGGCAGGAGGTAATAGGAAGGCCAGGGCCGTGTGGGTGGCAGAGCCAATGTGGCCCTCCAGCCAGTGCACCCACACAGCCCTTCACCATCCCAGTAAGTGGCCACAATGCCATGGCCAGGAAGCTAGAGTGTGAGCCACTTCTGCCAAGGGCCCTTTTTATATCTGGAGTCAACACTGAAAGCTTGTGAAACTGGCATATAAAGAACTGGTGAGTATAAAGTTTTGTCTCCGAGCAGCAACTTTTTCCTCTGTAGAAATAATGCTACCATTTCAAATAAGCACAAACACCATTCATGTTTTTTCTATCACCAGCTTATGCCCAGTGGCCAGAAACGCTGCTTCCATTTCCCTGTGTCTTTGTACTTGCTTAATAAAAGCAGGGTAGAGAGACCCAAGGCCGCTTGATTATTGTGGAGAACTCTTTCATATCAAGGCCTTCAAATGGCAGGTGGCTCCCCACTTCCCTGATGGCCTTGTGCTCTGAAGTGAGCAGCTCAGATGCAAAGGATGCTTTCCTTTCCACCTCTAAATTGCTATGCAACAATCTTGCGAGTTCAGTCAGCTGTGCTTTTTGTTTCTTTCTTTGCCAAGATACGTTCATAAAGCAAACAATACAGAGTGTCAAAGGAAGGGAGGGTAAGAAAGCATTTATAGAAATGGTTCTTAATGGATACAGGATACATTATAGAAACAAGGACTTATGAATCTTTCATGCAGGCATCTTTTCTCCCTCAAGAGCTCTTACTGGAAAACTTATTGGTCACAAGTCAGAGAACGACCATAAATGGATCCTGAGGCCTTGCACGCGACCAGAGGGACTCGTTTTCTTGGTTCAGCAGGTTCCCATTGCTGCAGCAGAAATTGTTTTGGAAAGTTCCCATAGTTTGTCAAAGGAAGTTGCTAGATGGCCCTCTGGGTGATTTTGGCTGCAACTCTCCTCAGCCCCAGTTAGCATGGCCAATAGTCAGGGAGAGCACCAGGTTGGGGATAGCTGCCATAAACTGCTATGTGCAAAACAAAGCTCCACAAGGTGCCTGGAGCAATACACACAGTTATCTCCATTGCAGCTATAATAATGTTTTCTCCTCTAGTGACACAATCTTAAAATTAAACAAGGTTCTTTTCCTATTTCTGCCTTGGCCTATGGCTTTTAGCAATAAATATATTATTTACTTTTTTTCTTTTGCAAAGAAAATAAAAGTTGACACTGAACTCCTTAATCTGGAATCTCCCTGCACCTGCACAAGCCGGGAAATGAATTTATCTGAGTCTAAACTTTTGACAATATTTCCTTCAGCACTCTGGGTCATAACACAGAAGTGGGAGTTACTGTTGTGTGCTTTTTTTACTATGCTGCAGGCTGCAGTGATTCCCACTCCCAACACAACTCTACAACCTTGATCACTTAAAATCCTCTCGCCACATTTGTTACATTTCCCTCCATCTCTCCTTTCCCTTTTGCTAGTCAAGAATTCATTTTCACATGCTTCCTGTACACAATTATTATTGCTATTATCATTTTATTACCTGCCCTTCACCCCAAGGTGAACAACAGATCACAACATTAAAACACTGTATTAAAACAAGTGGTTCTTTGTTCTTAGAATTGTGGCTCTAGCTTTAAATATCCAGCAGAACACTGGATGTATGAAATTGTATCTATGTTACCAGGATGTTGTTTTTGACTAAAGAGGTGGGTAAGAGGGCTCAGAATGTACCAACCTGCCTCAATCCATTCCAATATTCATTTGCACTTTCTGACACAATTGATTTATTTTGCACAGCTGCCAAGTGCACAGCCTCTCCCTTCCCCCATGTTTACAGCTGAGGTTTTTCAGGAAATGAGGGCATTCAGGAGGGTTGTGGATCACTAGGGAGAAAGAATGAAACAACATTCCTAAACACTCCTTGGCCACACTGGAAGGAAGGTCGTCTTGCCCCTTTGATGATTTCCACATTGGTGGAGAATGGTAAAAACAATAACAACACACACAAAAAATTCTGTGTGACACTAATTCTCTCTACAGTGGACCCTCGGGTTACGTTACCTTCAGGTAACGTAACTTTCGGGTTGCGAACATGGCAATACTTCTGGGTTTTGCCACGTGCACATGCACAGAATCACTGTGCACGCCTCGTGCATGCACAGAAGCGCTCTATTGCACCGTGCACATGTGCAGAAGTGGCGCCTCATGCTGCAGACTTTTTGGGGTACATAAGGACCCCCGGAACGAATTCAGTTCATATCCTGAGGGTCCACTGTAATTTAATAGTGACTTTGGAACACAGAACAATGCCTTGTACTGTCAGACCTCTGGTCCATCAAGATAGTATTGTTTGTTGGCAATGGCTGGCAGTGATTCTCCAAGGTTTCATTCCTACCTGGAGAAGCTAGGGACTGAACCTGAGACCATCTACATTAAAAACCATGCAGTCTCCCACTGTGATTTGGCCCTTCTTGGTTAGCATCTCGCATGGGGCGGGCAGGCTACACTCTTTATGTGTAATCTGTGCCCCTGTGTGTCTGCTGTCCTTATTCACTGTCTTTTCCAGCTTGGATTCCTCAAAACAATGTTGACAGGACTCCGGCAAAGAGCAAAGACAGACGTGATGGCACCGTGTAAACCTGTCAAGAGAGCTGCACGGAATTGTAGCTATATTTTTCTTTCTGACATTAATGGGAATCTCACAGCCCAAATCTCTCACAGCTTTTTTAAGAAAGCAAACCAAAAACCCTCCTACTCAAGTTAGGAGGTGTAATGTCAATTCCATGCAAATCAGGTGAGGCAAGCAGTATTTATTATGGCTTAACTCTGTAGGGACCCACGGGATGTGTCACGTTTGGATTCAGACACAGACTCCAACCAGGAAAATAAATTGGGGGATTCAGGAAAGTGAACTGAGCAAGTGGGGACATTATCATTATGTGAAAGACAGTTATGTGTCAGGGTATTTTTTTTATTTTAAAAATGGGGGAAAGAGAAGAATGTGGTGTTAAAATCATTCTGGTAGCATTATTTCTTTCCAGCACTCCCAAGTGTCAATGTGTTGCTTAACATAATAACAGGAATCTAATGCAGAGAAATCTCTTCCTTCCAACTTAGTCTCATTATACAGAAATAAAAAAACCTGCAGTACTGTACATGGAGGTGAGGGGCAAGGAGAGGAAGAAAGCCAGGTTAAACCAAAGTGTGGGAAGAGGCTGAAATCTACCACTTAGTACAGTATATCTCATATACAGGAGGAGAGGGATCATGATTGGGACTGCCACACAGGGAGAGGGGCTTAGCATTGCATGATGAAAATGACAAATGCCTACTATTTGCTCCCAAAAGTCTGACCTGCTGCTTTGGCACCTTTGGGTGGACATTTTCATCAAGAACACACTATAGTCCCAATTTGTATCCCCCTCCCAAGATGGCTGATGGAAATTTCCAGTTGGAAAAAGAACATCAGCAACCATGAAGCAAACAATGACAGGTTTCACGGCGCTTTGCCATTTGGCAACACTTCTGAGATTTCACCTGGTATTGCCAGGCTGCATCAACAGAAGTATAGTGTCCAACCAAGGGAAGTAATAGTACTGCTCTATTATGCTTTGGTCAGACCAAGGTTCTGGGCACCACAATTTAAGAAGGAAGTTGACAAGCTGGAATGTGTGAAGAGGAGAGCAACCAAGATGATGAGGGATGGTTGGGGGAGTTGGGTATGTTTAGAGGAGACTGGGAGGAAATATGATGGCCATCTTCAAATATATAAAGGGCTGTCACATGGAAGATGAAACAAGTTTGTTTTCTCCTGCTCTGGAGGGTAGGACTCTAGGCAATGACTTCAAGTTGCAAGAAAGGATATTCTGACTAAAAACCAGGAAGTACTTTCTGACAGTATGAGCTGTTCAACAGTGAAACAGGTTCTCTCAGAAGGTTGTGGGCTCTCCTTCCTTGGAGGTTTTTAAGCAGAGGTTGGATGGCCATCTGTCATGGATGCTTAAGCTGAGATTCCTGCATTACACGGGGTTGGACTAGATGACTCTCGGGGTCCCTTCCAGTGTGAGAGAGCCAGTGTGGTGTAGTGGTTAAGAGCGATAGACTCGTAATCTGGGGAACTGGGTTCGCGTCTCTGCTCCTCCACATGCAGCTGCTGAGTGACCTTGGGCTAGTCACACTTCTGTGAAGTCTCTCAGCCCCACCCACCTCACAGAGTGTTTGTTGTGGGGGAGGAAGGGAAAGGAGATTGTTAGCCGGTTTGAGACTCCTTCGGGTAGTGATAAAGCGGGATATCAAATCCAAACTCTTCTTCCCTTCCAACTCTGCAGTTCTATGATTCTGTGCCCACATACTTTCCATCATATTCTTGCAATATGGATTGGGCCTAGCTTGCTCAGTAAAATATCCAGATCAGTAACTCCATCATTAATCTCTAAAACTTTTTCTTCCTCTTTTGTACCTAGTTTTGTCAGGTGTATGTCAGGTCGCCTCTGATATGATTTCAGAACTGCTAATGCAATCAGTTCCAGGCCTGACACACCTTAGTCTCCCCTTGATCTAGTGCAGCTGGAAGAACCACAAAGCAAAACAAAATTACATTTCCCGTTGCGGCAACATGACCACCTTGAATACAAGATATAGGTTGCAACAAGGGGTTGATACTAATAAAGTAAAACTAACAGGCCACGTAAAGAGATCAGCAGGCAAGATCAGCAGGCACACAGACAGGCAACTCAGGAGAAGAATAACAAGTGGAGATGCTTTCATATGGAGCTAGTGCTATAGTTTCCCAAAGAAAGTACCGGTACATAGCTGATTTCTGGATTTTAAGGGAAACAATTGCACAGTTTTAGCCTAGGCATGTTGGGTTTAATTCAGACTTGGTCAGACTTAGAGTAGATCCATTAAAATCGATAAGACTACCTAACTTAAGTCCTGTTGATTTCAGTGTGTCCACTCTATTACTAATAGTAGCTGTGTCTACTCATAAGTAAGTCCTACTGGCTGCTCTTTCTTTGGACTTTCCTTCATTGGAGGATTTTTTAACAGAGGTAGGAAGGCCATCTGTCAGGGAATCTTTAGTAGTGGTTCCTGCATTGCAGGGGGTTAAACTCGGTAACCCACTGGGTCCCTTCCAGCTCTCCAATTCTATGATTCTATGCTTCATTGGGGCTTACACCTAGGGAGGTGGAATTGGGATTGGAGCCTTAGTCTGGGTCTGATCTATTGGATTTTATGAACATAGATGGTATTCACACTGCATTCCTGTGTGGAATATGGGGGCCTGCGGAGGGAGGCCTATCTTCTGACTCAGTCCAGGGTGAGATGACATTGACACAGATGTACAATCACAATAAGAAATAGGTTTCCAGAATCTGGTAATCAGAATCATACTGCCTCTCCACAGTTAGAAACAGTATACTTCTGAATACCAGTCACGACAAACCACCAGTCAGGAATGGACTGTTGGTAACTTAAAAGAGCATCTTCCTGGTGGCTGCTTTCCAGCTCTGGAAGTCTTTGCCAACACATGCCCATCTAGCCTCTTATCAGATGATTTTTCCTTGGCAGGCAAAGACCTTTATTTAGACAGAGCTTTGACATGGTCAGTTGAATTGTTATGGCCACTGCCAGTTTTCTATTGGTCTTACTGATTTTATTGGTTTTCACCTACTTGTCTTCGTGTCTTAGTTTTTAATTGGTCTTTTACTGTTTTTAGGTGCCCCTTTAGGTTTCACCTTTGGGTGAAAAGGTGGAATAAAAATGTAACAAGCAAGCAAACAAAGACAAGTAGAGAAATAAACATTGGCATCAAGTCCCTCAATCCAACATTCTCTGGGTTTGTGGCTATGCTAGTGCATTTTATGAAACATGGGGAAATGGGAAATCTCTCTATATAACTGCAGTGAATGACAATGCTTTTCATATGGAAAACCCAATTCAAAAACTTTTTGTTTTCTGATGACTATGAGCCTTTGTCAACTTAGGCTTTCAGGTTTTAGACGTAGAGGTTTTGTGTGCTTTGTAGAAAAGCAAATGAGCATAATAGGATGATTTTACAGAATAACGTTTCTCTTTCAGAGAAAGGGGTATTGATGGATGAAAACTCTTTACATAGCTGGAATCATTATGTTCTTAACAGATTGTATTTTGTAAGTAACAAACCTTGTTCCTCTAGCACTTTGTTCTCTCATTCATACAATATAATTCCTGCTTATTAAAATAAAAATTTGAAAGTCCACATTCCCTTGATAATACTTTCAGATCCAGCACATTTAGAAGGTCATGTCTATTGTTTTGACTCTTTGAATAGAATCAGAGAGATAGACACACACACCAATGTCAAACCAAACACATCTTTGCTTTTACACCGAATATACAAGCACAGTTATGTTTACTTTTGTCCTATTATGAGGGAAGATGCATTCAGAAAGCAAGAACTAAGGCTTCAATGGTTTAATTATATAAACTGTATAATTATATAGCCCAATAAATAATGCTTTTGCACATTAGTGCATCATTGTCTTATGCTGAATGTACAAACATTGTTCTCTTCTATGAGAAAAGGAAGATGCCTTCAGACACTGATGGTGAAGACTTCATTAATTTACTATATATTATATTGCCCAACAAATAGTGCTTTTCAAACACTGCTTTTCAAGAGCCAACTTTTAAAAAGTTTCTAAGAGTTCCATGGATGAAGCCAAATGCCTCCTGAGAACCAGGATGGAAGGCTGCCAGAGGAATTTCAAAATTTACATTATGTATTTATGCTACAGTTGCAGACATAATCATACAAAGTTGTACAAAATAGTGCTACTCTGCCGTCTGTGTGACAACTATCAACTACAGTGAGGATATACAATACAGTGAGGATATATGGCAGCATGGCAAGATGGAGGTGAACTGATTACACTGGGGAATAAGTGAGAAAGTAGTTTCAAGATATGGCCAATTGGCCCATGAAAAGCATACTACTGGAGAATATTCGGGTATCACCCATCTTAGAAGTGCTCATATTGGACTATCTCTCAATGTGCTCAATCTTCATGCAGGAATGAGTGTCCATTGCACTTATTTTCCCATAATTGCTGTGAGGAACCCCCTTTATATTATACAGAGAAAGACTCTCCTCCTGGAAGAGAGGGGAGTGGTTGTGGGCGGGAGCTGAGCTCCGCCTCTAGCAGGGGGCATTGCCCCCTGCCTCCCACTCACCTGGCTGGCGCCCACGCCCATCGGCAGGCACCCAACCAGGTGCCTCCAAGGGGGCGTGTACAGCAGCCTAAATGCTGCGGTGCCAGCCCCTCCTCGGCCTCACTCTTCGTCACCCCGTCGCGAGTCACCCACCCTCCACTCCCTTTGAGCTCAGGGTCCTAGTTTTTCCTTGGCCTTGCTATGGACCTTAGGTTGGTCGCCCTGGTTGTCCGGGGGGCCTGGTAGGAATTTTTCCATTTGGCATTAGGCCTTTTGGTTTCTTCGCCTACCTTGTAGCAATCGTCACAGCTTTCGTGGTATTGGTGGGTAGGTTAGGCATTGGAATAATGTGTTGTGGTGTGTCGAAGGGCTAGGTGTGGCCATCGCCTATGCCTTCAATTTTTGGGTATTCCGTTAAAGGAATCTGGTGGTCGTGTATTCTGTCCGATGCCTGCTTGGCAGGAGGCCATGGCACGACCCTCGGTGACATCAGGGGAGAGCCTATAGTTGGATTAGCATCAACAGGCTCCACCTACTGGTGAATAAACCCCCCTTGTTTTAGACTCACCCCTCTCTGAGGGGGTGGAGTCAGCTGACGTAATCCAATGCCTAAGCCAATACCTTTTCACTTGCTGTAATCAATAAAGTTGTGGCCTTTTCTTGCCCATTAACCTTATAACACGTGTCCTTGTGTATTCATTCCACTTTGCGGGGATCGGGTCCTCGAACCACAATATGCCACTGCATTTAACAATGATGGGAACTGATAAACAATAAAAAAATTAATACCTAATTTTATGCAAACTATCTATGGGGTGGGAAGAGCAGAGGAAAGATAAATACAAGGAGACAATGGAAGAGAGGAAGAACGAGACAGAGAAAGTTTAGTTTATTAGTTTATTTTTATCTCTCTTTTTTGTTAACTGCTTAGTTTTAAGTGATAGTTTTGTTCTGATTTCACTTAGCTTTTAGGAATTGTGTTGATTGTTATTGATTGTATTTTTAATATTCCCTATGTAAACTGCTCAGAGATTTTTTTATATTAAGCAGTTGAAACGTTTTAGAAATAGATATCAACTGTCATGTTTTTTAGTAGTTTAGTAACAGTCTTCCATTGGAAGTGTTTACATTTTATATGAATATACAGTATATTCCTGAAATACTTTGAAGGAGGAGGTAGCACCTGAAGGTATGAATTAAATCCACAGTCACTTTGGGAGGGGGAAAGGGCGTGTGTCTGTGGAAGAAAAGCTGTCGGAGAGGATAAGAGAGATGGGGAAGGTGGAGGTGTACAGCACACCTCTACACATCAAGATCAGACTTATAATTAGCTAATTTCACATATTGCCATAATTAATCAAGTTTTTCAGTCCCAATTTGCAGCCCATGTAATCACTCCAAATTCTATTTTTTATTCTTAGGTCAGCCTGTGCCAGCTCCCTATCTGCAATCATATGGGGAAACTCTCTTTTGATCTTTGCTCAAAGGAGGAAGAGATGCTATACAGTTGGGTACGACTGCAACTCTTTTGTAAAGGGATTCCATGCTAGATATGATGTATGCATTCAGACACAAAGCAGCTCCCAAAACTGGAACTTCATGAGAAAGTAGCTGTGACACCTTTACTATTGCTGTAATGCTTTTGACTTTAACCTGTCCCTCCTTTCAAAACCGAGGAGACCACATGGCTTCAGAAGGTCCATTTCTCTTCCAGAGACTGCAGGTGAGTACATCACTTTCTCCAGCTCAGAACTGCTCTCATCATCAGACACCTTCTATTAGCAATCAGTTTGGATGCAAAGTTACTATCACCCTGTGCTCCAGAATATAATCAGCGTTCTGTAATTACATTGTTTTGTTGCTGTTCCATTGGCATGCCACCGGGGAGACAACCCTCAGACCTGAATGTGTTATCTCCCTACCACTTCCATTTTTAGTCTTCTAGGCAGAGGGTGACAAAGTGGCTCATTAACAGCTTCTTTGCAGACTACAGTTATTTCACAGCCACTCTCCTTTCCCTTTTCACCCCATTTGTTGTTGCACAGGGGAAAGCAACACTGCCGTTTAGAGCAGCGTGTGCTGATTTTTACTAATAATAGCAGGATGAAAACTTTGCCCCAATGCATAGCTGTGGGAAAAGGGTAATTTCCTTGTTGGGGATAATTAGGAAAGGAAGTTTAAAAATGGCCAATATCATTACGGTGCTAAGCAGATCTATGAGTTGATTGCCCTGGAATACTATGTATGTACAGTTCTGGTCACCACACTACAATGCGCGCGCGCGCGCGCACACACACACACACACACACACATTGTAGATCTAGAAAAGGTGCAGAAAATGACAAACAAACCAATGCAATGAAATGTTGGTCCCCCACAAGACATTTCAGTTCCACATACCACAGGTTCATCAGTATAGAGAAACAGCAAACTCTAAAGGACAGTGGCATTGCAATGCATCAACAAACCTCACTAAATGAATTTGTAGAAATTTGTAAATAGGGCATGTAGCATGCTCTTTGCTTGCAAGGTCTAAGATCCAATTGGCTTCCATTTATACTACGTACAAATTGTACTCTTCATTTGTACTCTTCATTCACTCTGAAGGTTGAGCATTAGATTTGTATAAGTGTTTTTGAAGCTGCCAATGAAGTTGAATATTGGAAGAATAGATAAAAGAAAGAAAGAAAGTACAGTGGTACCTCGGGTTACAAACACCTCAGGTTACAAACTCCACTAACCTGGAAGTAGTACCTTGGGTTAGGAACTTTGCCCCAGGATGAGAATGGAAATCGTGCACCAGCGGCACAGCGTTAGCAGGAGGCCCCATTAGCGAAAGCGCACCTCAGGTTAAGAACGGTTTCAGGTTAAGAACGGACCTCTGGAATGAATTAAGTTCTTAACAAGAGGTACCACCGTAATTCTTCATGCAGCACATAGTTAAACTATGGAATGTGCTTCCACAAGGGGTTCACACAACTTGGGTGGCTTTAAAGGGAGGTTAGACAAATTCATGGAGAATAAGGCTATACATGGTTACGAGTCATTATTCCTGTGTTCACCCTCCACTGATAGAGGAAGTATGCCTCTGGTTACCTGTTGCTCTCTGGCTCTGGCTGTGGGTTTCCCATAGGTGTCTGGTTGGCCAAAGGATGCTGGACTAGAAGGGCACTTGGCCTAATCCCGCAGGCCTTTTTCTTATTATCTTTTTTCCATTCCTATAATACAAGCCACTTCAAAATGGACCTATAGTGGTGCTGTGCCCTGCATGAATGAGACTATTGCCCTATTCAGATGTTCTCATGTGTTGCTCCTCACACGAGAAGAATGTTGACCTGATCATTGGCCCTGAAGACTGAAGTGGGAATAGCAACAATTAGTGTTGCTATTTGACATTATAAAGGCAAGAAGAATCTTCATGAAAAATATAGCTGCACATAAATTTACTTTCAATAGCTTTCTACCTGCTATAGTAATCATAACATAGACTGTTCCTTAACAGGAAACAAGTCATTTTGATCATAAGTGCCATGCATTTTGCAGTAAATCTGCGGTATTTTGATTAATAATATAGTACTCCACAAACCTTAACAACTGTCCTACAGTTTACATCTTACTTTGCTAGTTAACACTTCAAATGCTGCTGTCTGTTTTTGTTGTGCTATGTGATTACATGATGAACATATATTTGCATATACTGTATGTTTGCATTTATTTGTTGTCCTACGTATTAGATGGGCAGCTTGGCTGAACCACTCTTTTCCACTGGAGTTTCAGCTTGTGAATTAGATGCATGTGTCAGATTGAAACACAATTTTATTGCTGCAATGTTTGCTGCTTTTACATTGTTGCTGCACCATTTAAGCAAACAGAAATGACTCCTCCAATTAGCTTTTTATTCTGCTCCTGTTCTTTTCAGTAATAACACTTTCATTCACCTCCACCCCAGTGTTGCACATAAACATGGCCAAACCATTCCTTCCTGTATTCATTATGAATTTGGCCTGTTCTGAGTTGTTGCCAGAGCATTCTTTTCTATTAATTCAATGATAAGTATTCACTGAATCAGTCAAACACATAATTATAAATTATGTAGGTGGCTCTCTGCACAGGAACCCTATTAACTTGAACCACATAGCAAAAATAACAAGCTGTAGGATTAAGCATCCTCCCCACTCCATTCAGAAATTTGCATTACATGGGACAGCCACATTCAGGACACCATCCATATACTATAAATTGGCCCATTAATATTATTTACATTAGTATTTTAGTTTTCCTTCCTACTCATATTTCCTTTTGTGTTGCTAAATTTACATGCCATTAATTTTGCTCTAGAAAAACATGGCATCTGGCAGCTGGATTTTTTTCCCTTCCAGTCCTGTGCTTGTTTTCTCAGATGTAAGTTCCACAGAGTTCAGGGGAACTTACTCCCAAGTAAAACTGCCTAGGATTGCGGGCTTTGATAGGCCCATAGATGATCATATATAGTGAATGAATGGGAGAAAAGCTGAGGAACTAGGAAGGCCTTGAAAAAGATGGTGATAGCAGAAAGGCAACATACTAACTAAAAGATGAAGGACATTGCAGAAGATGTTTTCCTTGCGAATTTGCTGCCATGAAACGCAAACTGTTCTTCTATACATTCTCGCTGTTTCTTCTTCCACTTAATGGATTATAAAATTGTTAGAAATATGCCAGATTACCAGTGTGTAATAGAGATATCTTCTTCTTATTTACAAAATTGATACTATGGAGCCATTCACTTCATAAGCTTTTCATGCCTGTTAGCTAATAATAGCCTCTGAATCAGAAAGCTTAAATGATCAAAAGGAATTCACTTTCCAAACCAAACTCTGGCTGTCATGAGTGCTATAAGTGTTAATCTTTTCTGTAATATGCAAATATGTTCACAAACTAGCGGTCACATGCCTTTTGATGTATGCAAAACTGAGTTTAAAAGCACAAGCTTATCTTTAAGATTTTCTTTCTAATTTTATTTTTGCAGCCTAGCCAGCTGAAGAATTATTTTGCAACATCTTTCTTGCAGTAACCCGGCAGTTAGTTTTATTTGTTCAGTTATTATAAATATTTACAATCCACCTTTTATAGCATAGGGCTCCCAAGGTGACTTACAACATCATACAGATCCGTGTGCGCGCACACACACACACACACACACACTTCAAATGTGTATATATAGAATCTGACACAAAACTTTTTTATAAAAAAAATTACACAATGTGTTGGTAAAATTCAGACTGAAATATGATGGTTTTCAAGGTCCATTTAAATTCTAATAAAAATGAAAGTATCTATGGAGAAAATTCCACAAGTGTGGGGTTATCACCAAAAAGACCTTGTTGCAAAACAGCAGCGTCTGGGCTGAGGGATGACCCCACGCAGCAAATGAGGAATAACAAAAGGTTTATTATTGGCTTACTGGCCAGCAAGCTGACTCAGAGGAATCAGTTTCCAAAATCTGAGCCCCCTCCAAAGGGAGGGGCTCCTTCATATATACATTTCTGTTATATCTTAACAGACATATGCATAAACTGCAGCAAAATCCTTCCAATCCTAGGCTACATCACCCTATTAGCATATCATTTATGGTCTGTCCTTAATTGCATATACATTAAGCAAGCACACAATGAACTCTTTCTAAGCAGCACCTCGCTGCATGTGATCCCTTTGCATTCCTTTCCTTATATGGGTTTACCTAAGGGAGTTTAGAGGGACACGGGTGGCGCTGTGGGTTAAACCACAGATCCTAGGGCTTGCCGATCAGAAGGTCAGCGGTTTGAATCCCCGCAATGGGGATTCCCATTGCTCGGTCCCTGCTCCTTCCAACCTAGCAGTTCGAAAGCACGTCAAAGTGCAAGTAGATAAATAGGTACCACTCCAGTGGGAAGGTAAACGGTGTTTCCGTGTGCTGCTCTGGTTTCAACAGAAGAGGCTTAGTCATGCTGGCCACATGACCCGGAAGCTGTACGCCGGCTCCCTCAGCCAATAAAGCAAGATGAGCGCTGCAACCCCAGAGTCGGTCACAACTGGACCTAACGGTCAGGGGTCGCTTTACCCTTTACCTTTAAGGGAGTTTAGGACATGGAACAAGGCACGTCTCCCTTTCTTATGCAGACACTCTGGAATGTGTTTTTGCAAGAACCTGGTCTTTGATGAGCTTTGATGGTGGGCCTCTGAGGCCAATCTTAAGGCCTGAGCAGCTCTGCATGAAAGTACCACAAGCTCTTTTCTATTCAATGCTAAAAAGTCAGCTTATTTTATCATCTGTGAATGGGAGACTCTTTTGATTGTCCAGGGCTGTACAGCAGTGCTATTTAGAATAATGATTTACCCATAGAAATAAACATCATGCTTGAGAAAACCCTACATTGGGCACGCAAGAAAGTGATAAAATCTCATTACATTTCCCCCCTGTTTTTGAAGGATCTATTCTGCCTCAGCACAATCTGACCATTAAGTGTCTTGACAACAGGAATCTATACAGTTTTGTGTAGTGGCCAAACAGTTTGCTAAATATACCACAAGCCATACCCTAAATTGATATGCAGGCCCTTCCATTCTTGGGGGTTGCTTTGCTTAAATTTTGGCTATGTTGAGCCAAATCTCTTGCTACACAGTGCAGTACAAATCTTGGAGTTAATGGCTCCTGTTGGACATAAAATTTTGTATTTCAGATTGCTACAATCCATTGTTCATCACAATTAAGTTTACCATACGTCCAGAATTTCCCAGAATTTTGAAATGTGGCAGCCCTAAGACACATTGTAGGCAATGAATGGGACTTGCAGTCCAATCTTATCCATGTTTTCAGTGGAGCTTACTTTTAAGTAAGTGTGCATAGGAATGAAGGCCATCCATCCCTCACAACCAACCCCAATCCTACCAATTTCAATAAGGTTTGTTGTAATTGACCTTCACTGGATTAGGCCCTATCCATCTGAAGCTTTTATCTTCTACTCATTTGTGACTTTCAGTTCATGTATTTGTTATTATTTAATCGGGCTTCAGTATGGCAGTTGTGTTTTTTTTAAAAAAAGATGAGTTTTGTACAGGGCAAGTCCTTTAAAAGAGGCGCCGCGGATACAGAGTACACATGTTCCACGGGGCCTCTTTTAAAAGACTCACCCTATATATTGGTGTTTTTATTGAATTTCATATCTTGATTCATATTTCAGCATCTGAATGTCGGTTATTTCATGAAAAGTGACATTGTTCTAGCAGTATGCCACTCCCCTGCCCTGCTTTTTTATGATTGCCGGATGAAGTATTATATGTATTTGTGAAACTGAATGTATCTTAGTGAATGCATTTATTGATTGATTTGCAATCATTTCTATACTGCCAGTGTTAACAAAAAATGTCAGGCTGGTGAACGGTATAAAACCAAGAATAAAACTGGTATAAAATACATCACAAAAAAGTAGATTCGATTAATATAGCTGGATCAGCCCTCAGTGAAAGTCTACTTTTAAGCAGGTGTCTACATTCAGTACTGAAATTGCCTGTTTGCTGTTCATTTGAAGCACGTTCCAACGGGCAGGTGCCACCACACTAAAGTCCCTGGTCTTAGTGGGCTTAAGATGAACCGTGGGACCAATCAGTATTTCTGAGAGTGAAAAAAAGTCATGTCATAATAACTCAGACGTAACTTGTTTAAGATTATCATTTAACTGTGAAAGGTGTACCACATGAATAACCTCCTGTACTTTTGGTAGACATTATCCGTATAATCATTAAATCCAGTACTGTATAGATCCTCGTTTCTCCTCCATTGGCTGTCTGCTCAAATGAAGAGGCTGTTAGTTTATCAGTGACAAATGTACTGCATTTAACGCAATAGGACAGTCCTTTAATTTGAGCACCTAGCATGGTGTCAACCTAAATCTCTTTCAGCTGATTTAATTAGCAAAGCACCATGTTAATCAATTTGCAATTAAACTTTCTGAACCTTATACAGGATATATATATATATATATATATATATATATATATATATCCCTTTGCAAAACAACAAAATAGAATTAGCTTAGTAATAAAAGCAATTTATGGGAGCTTTTTCAAAAGTAAATGCATTGTACAGTTGATGAATTATTCATTGCTAGGTATCTGTAGCACATTTACTGATTTTAATGAGCTTTCCTAATTTCATTTCCCCTACTAAATCACATGATTTACCTGCATGTTTATTAATGGAAAAGGATCCATTAATAAAATGTAGTCATCAATAAACTATCTTCCTAATAATGAATCTATAATTTCTATACTGCATGATTTAGTGTCGTATTATGCAAGCCACATTCTCTCTGTTGACTAAACCTCGTTTAACCTGCTGCTCATTGCACTGTGAAAGTTGAATACAACTCTTTGGGTTGATGACAGTTTATAGGTGCCATTCAGAGGCAACTAGTGCTCAACATTATAAAATCCAATTGTAAAAGCCCTTTCTGTTGCAGTTGTTCTTCAACTGTACAAGATATGGAGAGCTCCATCCTACAGACATCTGCTTTCTGAAAGCCCTTGCTAAATGGCTTAGACCTCGTGCCCCCTGCCCCTTGAATGAAGGCAAGAGGTAATATATGGATTGGTGAAAGGCCAAAACTTTATTAACTTACAAGGATGTGCCTGTGCGATGCCATCTCTTTCTCCACATGCCCTCCCTGCAATCTGTTCCAGAGGGTTGGAGAGTGACCCAGTTCATATTTTATTCTTTTTTTTGGGGGGGGGGGAATCTACTGATAGGATGGCTTCACTGGATACATCCCAGAGTTTCAAAATAACACTTTCTCTTTTTTAAAAAGCAAACATTTCACAGCTGCAAATAACAATTTCCAATCTGACTGGCAAAAAGTCACACACTACAATATAAAACAGAGAAGAAGGATGGTTTAAAATCCAACTCGGCATATCCAGAAAAAGTGAACTGAAAAACAGTCTTTAAATTCCATAAAGATGCAAGCAATCTTCTGAGAGGGAATTTCATAAATGCAGGATATTGGTTGAAAAAGCCTCAGCTGTCCGACATAACAGGTGAGCCTGAGTGAAAATAGTCCTTCAGTTGCTGCATTAACCCCCCCCCCCAAAAAAAAGCTTCAAAGCACACATTCAGAATAATGTTTTGGTACTGATGCTTTGGTACTGACTGCAGATACAAAAGCCACTGATGGGCCAAAGGTAGCACATGGAAGAGCAGACATACCCATCAAAGGGAAAGGGCCTACACATCCCTTGAGAATAGCTCTTACCATCTTAGCTCATTCTTTTCAACAGAATATTGGACTATTTAAAAATTAGCATCTAAAAAACCCCACCGCTTTATAGCTGATGGAGGTCGTATGGGGCTTCTGGATCTCTGTAGCAATATTTTGTTTTTATTTCTTAATTTTCAAAATTGTGTCAATTATACATGGCAGTGAGCGGAGGGTGGGGAGCTTTCAAAATAAAAGAATGTAAGAAGAGACTGCTGGATCAAGCCCATCTTGTCCAACAGCCTGTTTTCACAATGGCCAGCCAGATGCTTGTGGGAAGCACAGAAACAGGATCTGAGTGCAACAGTATCTTCTCTCCCGGGGTCTCCAGCAGCTAGAATTCAGAAGCTTACTTCCTCTGACAGGTAAAAGAGCCATCAAAGATGAGCAAGATGGATTAAACCTTTGTTGTGTCTAATCACAATGCTGTTTTGCTGACAAATTAATGTTTCAGGAGCTGTCTGAATTCTTGAGGGCTCTCATATCACTGGGAAAGTAGGAGTCTGTATATAATGGAGTGGACACACACCTTATCGCTTTCATCACACATGTGTCAAAGTGTGATATAGAGGCAATACAGCCATCCAATTTCATGCAATAGATTAAAATGTGGGAGATTAGCAGCCAAATCTAACAAACACAAATTCTTGCTAGCATGAGAAGGGGCTAAGTCCATACAACTGCATTCCTGGGAGGCAGATACTCTGACCATAGAAATGCAATTTGTAGAGAGGGCTCTGTGTGATGTCATTTTGCCCCCTCTCCTGGAGAGGAAGCAGTATATATAGTACTTCCTGTACTCCCTTCTATCTTCTTTTGACCAGTGTTGGATGCAGTCATGTCTCTGCTTGCTCTGGCTTTTGGCACATGCCTGAAGTTATAGTGTCAATAGTGGAGTTTTGCCTGCATAGTTTTTTACTGCTGTCTTTGCTGTGAACCAATGCACCATTATAAATTAATAAATCATATTTTAAAAACTTACTTTCCAAGTTGTTGCCTTATTGTTTGTTAAGCAGGATAAGAAAGGGGAAGCCAGCTTACTTCATAACTGGACTTACTCAAAAGAAGGCTTTACGGCCTAATTCCTATGTTTCTTTGTTTCTTGTTGTTTTTTAATTTTTGCTGCCAAGCGTGACATTTCAAAACTGTTCAACCCATACAAATGGGTTCCTGGAAGGTAAACTGCAATTAATATATCCTCTCCTACCTATTAAAACCCATCCCACAAAAAAGAGGGTTGAGGGAGACAACATGAAACAGGTGTTTCTGTCATAGGGCCATGTTTGCATTATTTCTGAGGTGATGGGAAGGATGACCCTTCTCAACCACACACTTTTCCAGTTTCAGTAAATTATTGATATTTAAAAGGCTTAACAGGTGTAAGACTTAACAATGATTTCTCCCTTGTTCTGTTCCTTGTTCGCTGTGAGAAGTGAGGTTACAGGAGACCAGGCAGAGGGCCTTCTCGGTAGTGGCACCTGCCCTGTGGAACGCCCTCCCAGCAGATGTCAAGGCAATAAACAACAATTTTACTTTTAAAAGACAACTGAAGGCGGCCCTGTTTAGGGAAGTTTTTAATGTCTGATGCTGTATTGTTTTTAATATTCGGTTGGAAGCCGCCCAGAGTGGCTGGGGAAACCCAGCCAGATGGGTGGGGTATAAATAAATTATTATTATTATTATTATTATTATTATTATTATTATTATTATACCTATTCACTGCAGTGGGCTGAAAGTGTGAATTGTCAGATCCACTGGGGTATTGGTTTGCTGCCAAAGTAGGGGATGAAAAAATCTACATTTTGGGAGGTGGTTTCTATCATAGGTGAGGAACCTTTGGCTGTCCAGATGTTGCTGAATTAAAAACCACAGCAAGCATGTCCAATGGCCTGATGCAATGGGAGTTGTAGTTCAGCAGCACTTGAATGGCCAACAGTTTCCCACACCTGGGTTCTGTGTAAGATGACCTCAGCAAAGGGGAACATCATTAATCTGCAAACATCCTGCACAGATCCTATTTCAGCCTCATTTGGAAAATCAAAGTGTGGGTGAGTTTACCTGATCAGTTAACACATCAGAATTAATAGTTTGCTGTGAGATGAACAGAATCAATCATGTGATAATCTGCTTTTGTTAAGCCATTATCATGAATCTATTGTATTATGGATGATTCTTCTTATTCCATCAGTCATTAGCTAACAAAGCTAGGCAGGCTTGGAGCACAGTGAGCGAGAGAAAAGATGGCAATATGATAGCAGAGCTGCAAGAGCAAGTTTCATACAAACAAGCTAGCACATGATAGCTGCAATTTATCACATGGAAACTATGTTTAATCACATGAATAATTTGTGTGAAGAGATTGTGGGTCTTCATCAGTGAATAGATTACTTTCTGCCGAACTTGCTACTTCACTCCATCTGACTCCCAAACAACACAATCTTCATTTCAACAACTGCAAATCTTGAATCATAGAATCTTAGAGTTGGAAGGGTTATCTAGTCCAACCCCCTGTAAAGCAGGAATCTCAGCTAAAGCATCCATGACAGATGGCCATCCAACCTCTGCTTAAAAACCTCCAAAGAAGGAGAGTCCACCATATCTCGTGGGAGCCTGTTCCACTGCTGAACAGCTCTTACTGTCAGAAAGTTTTTTCAAATGTTTAGTCAGAATCTCCTTTCTTGCAACTTTAAGCCATTGGTTAGAGTCCTACCCTCCAGAGCAGGCGAAAACAAGCATGTTCCTTCTTCCATGTGACAGCCCTTAAGATATTAGAAGATGGCTATCATATCTCCTCTCAGTCTCCTCTTTTCCAGGCTAAACATACTCAGCTCCTTCAAGCACTCCTCATAAGGCTTAGTTTCCAAGCCCTTGATCATCTTGGTTGCCCTCCAGCTTGTCAACATCCAACTTCCAGCTTGTCAACATCCTACTTAAATTGTGGTGCCCAGAATTGGACACAGTCTCCATGGAAGGTAGCAAGTATGTTATCAGCATCCTCATCCATGATCAATAGCCTTGGATCTGCTGGGGTTAGATCAAGAATGGAAAAAGACTCCTCCAAAGACAGGACAGTTATGCAGACTGTTAATTTATATATATCACACACACACTTACTGTACACAATCACATTCCAAACCTAATTAAAGAGGGGGGAAAAGTTACTCAGAATTCAAGTTAGGAAGTCTACTAGTCATTAGAATATTAAATAAGTTTTCTATGGATTGTTTTTGTTCAACAACAACAACAACTGCTTTTACCTCACAACTCTCCAGAATGTGATAGATAATGCAAACTGAACTTTTTAAAAATTTAATGGCCGCTTTAATTTGCTGCTGCATTTGAATATAAACACATTACAGTTATGCTTATGATGCAATGAATAGTAGACTTTTAGCAATTGTAATGAATTAGACAAATTTAATTAAACCAATGAAAATAATAAAGAATGTAAATGAGGTTAAAATTAAAATCAATTCAGCCATTCCTCTGAGTTATTGAACTCTGCTCATAGCTGTGTGCCTTTTGTCTTATAGTGGGTCCACTGAGAAGAACTTTCTAGCTTAAACAATAGCAACTAATCCTCATCAACACCTGTAGTCTTTGTTTGGGGGCATTATTTTTCATCTGCATGTTTAATGCTGCTTGAAAGGCAAAGAACCACGTAAATGTTTATTATAATTTCAGTGACATAAAACTATGGAATAACTAGTGCAGCAACTTGAAAAATTTTTTTGGGGGGAGGGGGGTATATGTCTTCCATGTATCAAAATAATTTTGCTGTTTCTTTGCTTGCTTGTTTAGCCTGGTTTGTTTCTCCTGCTCTTCCTTCTTTATTTTCTTACTACATTTTGATAAAATAGATTAACTGAAGAATGTAAAGATTAAAACTTCTGTGAAACTGCATTTCTGACAAAAAACTTCTAAATTGTCCACTAAGCAGCAGCAGCAGCAGCAAAAACAAAACAAAACCAGCAAAAAAACCCTATTACAAATAGTATTGTAGTCCTTGAAAAACTAACAGACATTTTACTATAGCATAGTTTTGGACTAGAGCGCATGTTGTCAGATTCATGGAGGATGAACCTCTGCTGGCAGGAATACACGCACATGGCTGAAAGGTGGAGGAACGTCTTTTGGAGTTTAAATATGGGAACTGAATGCAAAGGTACAGTCCATGACAGAGCCTTAATGGATACAAAATGACCCTTCCAGAAGCACTCATAGAGACTGGGAACTGGTTAGAGCAGCAGGGTAGTGAGAAACATTACACTGCACCTTTTAGACTAGTCCATCTTAGCAAACAAGATGCTCAGGGCTTGAAGGAGCAATCCTACAAGATCCACCAGCATGAGTGGGATTAGGATTCACAGGATCTATGGTTGAGTAGTCTAGTTCACAGTGCAGCCAGGCCACACAGGCTTAATTCCCTCATCCTTGGCTCAGCTGAAGATACACCGGCGTCTCTCCATCATCCCACTCAGCAAGGACCAAGCAGGCTAAACTAAGTCCGGTGAATCCTAAACCCTGAAAACGGGTGTTCCGGGGTATGAGGGGACTTAGGCTGGATCCTAAACCCATTCAGCTTCACCATGTGACCTGGCGACCCATAATAAGTCAAACCGGCAAAAAGAGTGGTGTAATTCAATCACCATTTTAAAGACTTGTTTCCCCTCTGCCAGGCATAGGCTACCTCAGCCAGCTGTATCCCGACTCCTGAACAGAGTTTGGAGCTGCTGCACTCTAGGCCCACTTAACTTGCACCCGGTTTGCCTTATGCTAGCTTCTTGTATATAGGATTACTCCCATGGTCTACTCAACAAACAAACTGGTCCACATTGTTGTATTAAGCCTGACTTTGTTCTATTGAAAAGGCTTGTCTTGCCAGCATCCTGAAAACATAAAGAGAATCAAATGGAAATCTTCCTAGATAGAAATCCAAATAAGATATCGTTGTGAGCAGAGATCTTAGAATCATAGAGTTGGAAGGGGCCACAGGGGTCATCTAGTCCAACCCCCTGTGACACAGGAATCTTTTGCTAGGCAGTAAAGAACATTACTTGATTATGATGATGATGATGATGATGGTGATAGTGATGATGATGATGATGATTTTATACCCCATTCATCTGGCTGGGTTTCCCCAGCTACTGATCTGAGACCAGGACCACAATCCTGTGTATGCTCTTTCAGAAATATATGTTCCACTGTATTCAATGAGACTCACTTCTAAATAAGTGTGCTTAGGATTGTGTAGCCTTACTCCTCTAAACTGATTTACTGACAGAGTATGGCAAGTTTTATTTCTTTGTTTGAAGAAGAAAAACAGATTTCTATCCCATCTTTTGTCCCAGAAAAAGGTCAAAAACTTGGACCTAGGGATATTAGTTCCTTCCTCCTTGAGGAGTTGCCAATAATTGTTCAAGGTATGAGAGCCTTTCCAATACCAAAGACACAGATTTCGTTCTGCTGAAGGACACAGAATGTGATTCGTGGCCCAAGTTTCTTTGCTTTAAAGGAAGACTGTAAAACCACACATTTGACACTTTTTAATTACCACACCACCTTTGTAACTTCAGTTTCTCTATAAAACGAGCAACCTGGTCATTGCAACAGCAGGTAAGGAGGTCATTGTGTTCCCTAAACATACAAAAGCAGGATGTCAGGGATAAGGAGATAGCCTAGCTTCATAGGAAATACGCTCCCACCAACATCTAGTTCTCTGTGCAAAAACTGGAAACCAATACAGAATCAAGGATTATTTCATCTGTTCCACATAGGGACGTGCCTTACTCCAGGTCAGGCATCAGTCCATCTAGATCATGATATTCAACAATGACACGCAGCAGGTCTCCAAGGTTTCAGGAGACCCCACCCCTATTTTGAGATGCCAGAGCTTGTGGACATGACCTTTTACTAGCAAAGCAGTTGCTCTACCCATGAGTTACAATCCTTTCTCACTCTGAGCAACAGACCATGTAATTTGGAATGTCAAAATCTGAAGAAAACTTCAGAAGAGAAGCATGTCGGAAAGATCCCTAATTTTAAATCATACTATGTTGTTTTGTCAGTAAAATCCTACTAATTTTGCTTGAGGGGAAACCCCCCTCCTTCAAAAATCTTTTTGAAATCTCCTGTTTTTCAAAGTTCTTTTGTTCAGAACACTGTCAACATTTTCTTCCACAGCCCACCCCCTGTTTAATAGGGTGCGTGAATGTGCAGTCTTCACTCATGTTGATTAGCAGTTAGGAATGAAAATGCTCCAGCAATATTGATTAGAGTACTCATGAAAATAGATTGTTCACCAGGAAAACTAGGGTCAATGCTGGCTTTTATATCTCAGCCATCTGGCAAGATTGCTTATTATAATTCCTTTCTAAATCTATACTGGCATTTTCTCTTCCATCTTCTTGTGTTCTTATGGCCTGTTTGTACACACATAACTCTTCACCATCTATTGATTTAGTTCTGTTCACTTTCTATTTCCCTTAGTGCTTTCTTCCTCCATAGATTGATTCCTAGTTTCACCCAACACAGTTTCCTAAAATTTACTTGGCTATAATTAAATGTCTTCATTTTCTTCTTCTAAAAAGATAGCACAAGTCAAAGGACCATTCCTAATGGTTTGAGTGTACAAGGTAATGTTGACATCCCATCCCTTGAGTGTCCCAAATTTTGTCCCTTAGCAATTGAGTAAAATGCAAAAAAGAAAAAGAAAGAAGAGCTCTTTGTTTTTTCAGATAAATACAGCAAACCATACAACCTACTCTTCAACAGGGAGGAGCAACAACACTATTATCCAACCAAGTTCATAAACTATGTTAAATCAAGTCACTTCCATGCCTGTAGCAGTTCCTTCCACAACTGCCCATGAATCCTCAGAAGTCATTTGTTTTGCTCCTTTTTGTTTTCTGTATGAAATACAACAAAACGAAACTGCACAGAAATCTTCATCCATTCATCCCATGTTTGATTTTATTTGTTTAGTAAGTTTTTCCATCAACACTACTTTCCATACTTGTTGACACCCAGTATCCAAGTTTTTCCAGTGCCTGATACAGAGGGAGATGCCCACATCGAGCATAGTAACAGGTGAGATGAATAGAAAGTTAGTATGCTAACATACCCTCCAACATTTTTCTGATGAAAATAGGGACTCCCCATTCCATAATGATAATTTTACTATTTATATTCCACACATCTTACTGGGTTGCCATATATATATATAAACATAATACAACATTAAAAATTTAAAAAAGCCTTCCCTATGCAGGATTGCCTTCAGAGGGCTCAGGGGTTGGATAACTCCATACCCTCCAACATTTCTCCAATGAAAACAGGGACACCCTAAGGAAAAGTAGGACGTTCCGGGATCAAATCAGAAACTGGGACGGCTTCCCTAAATCAGGAACGTCCCTGGAAAATAGGGAGGGTCTGTGCTAATGAGGTGTGTGTGTGTGGGTTTTTTTTGTAACCTAATCTTCTTACATGCTTGTTTTCTATGCATAATTATTTTTTAGGACAGTCTCCCTGCACTTCAGTCTCCCTGCACAATAACCATTATTTATGCACATTTTCCATTCAATGCATTAGTCACAAGATATCAATTAAACATATATGGCACTTACACACTTTTAAAAACATACTTTCTCTTCTTTGGGAAGATTTAAGGGGCTTGTTTTTTGTTTGTTTTGCTAAAGGAAAATGATTTGGGAGAAAAAATTCATTAGAAAACACTAAGTAAGAAACATCAGCTTAAAATTACGGACTGTCAGGCAGCTGTGATGCTCTCATTTGAAATCAGTAGAGTAGAACTGATTTCAAGCAGGCTTGCAGTTCAACTGCTGCAAATTAAAATGTTTTAATTATTTATTTATGACATCAGAGCATGGACCAGCTAATACCCTCAGATACATTGGTGTCGGTCTCCTTATGTAAAGACCAAATTTATTCAAGACTTTAAATAAAATACAGAATGGGACTTAAAAGAGGAGCTTCAAAAACACTCTAGACCAGTGATGGCCAAACTTGGCCCTCCAGCTGTTTTGGGACTACAACTCCCATCATCCCTAGCTAACAGGACCAGTGGTCAGGGATGATGGGAACTGTAGTCCAACAACAGCTGGAGGGCCAAGTTTGGCCATCACTGCTCTAGACTATTGGCCCTTCAGATTTGTTGGACTCCAACTTCCATCAGCCCCAGTCAGCATGGTGATTGGTCAGGGGTTTAAATTATTATTTATTAAATTTGTATTTTATCCTTCATCTGAAGATCACAGAGTGGTTCACAACATAAAAATACAAAATGAGAACATAAATTATAAAACAACAAAACAACAAAACAAAACCAATAACCCTTTCCCACAAGCGGTTTGGAAGGACCCCACATCAGTGCAAGCAGGCGAGGAGATGGGGGGTGTCATTCCATTTGGCAAGCTGAAATACTCGTCCTGACAGTACAATTGACACCATGGGACGTTGAATTTCTCCCAAAGATTCCAAATCAGTTTTTTTAAAAAAAAAAGTCTTGAAATAACACATCAGGAAAACAGGCTAAGCTACACCTTTTAGAATAGCCATGCTAGATTTCCACAGACATTTTCTTCCCATATGGAGGAGCATTAAAACATACATTTTCTTTCTGTTTTCTCAGGTGGTAAAATCCTAGCAGAAGTTCACCATATGCTTCTCCCACACCCCAAACATGTAAATTGGCCCATATATCTAATCTAACATTTGTAGACTCCCTCCCCAAAAGTTATAGTTGGCTTTGTGGCAGAGTATGTCCTAATAATGTCATTTTTACTTTCAAATAGCTACAAATGACCAGCAAGAGAAGCTGCCTTAAGGTGTTATTGACATTAAGGAGATGTGAGGTTTCATTCCTAGTCTCCCCAGCCTTCAAAGTTGTGCAGCTATTTCTGCCAATGACACCTTGCAGCATAATCACTGATATGCATGGAGACTCCCCCTCATCAGTTGGACCCCTAGGCAACTTGATAATTAACTATAGATATCCCAGTTCCAGGCTCCCCACAAAGGTTGCACACTGTTCCAATTACACTCATTGGTGTTCTACCAAAACCTATCAAATGCAAATGTGCTCTAGGAATAGCTAGCGATTGCAAATCAAGAAACCCATTAAAGGGATCGCTTCTATTTCCTACAGCCAAAAGCTTAAAGAAAGTACCAAGAAGGGGGAAAACCAAAGAAACAAACCTTATAATCTCATGTCGGGATTTCCTCTGGGCATGTCAGGATGTCAAGATATCCTCTTTTGTATTAATTCGACTCACTCAAGTTTGTTATATGAGACTCGAGGATTCACTTAGTTATATACAATCATTCATTCCAGTGTAAAACCAAAAACTAGCATTGGGCAGACATTCTTACCTAAACTCCCTCTCTAAACTATTGACTTAAATGTAATCAATTTTGCAAATAGAAGAGGCTGACTGTGGCTGAGCCGTTCATTAAAGAACACTTCATTCACAAACCTAATTGATTGTATGAAACACTTCCCACAGTCCAGTATACAGTGGCATGCATTTAGCTCCAAATGAAATCAATGGGTCTTAATCGCACATAACTGCACTGGACTAAAACCACACCCATTCTCATTAATCAGGTTCTTTTGCAGCCCCCTGAATAAAAGTTGCATATGGATGTGTTTCTTTAAGTTGTTTGGCCAATCTGGTTTTAATTTCTCTATCACTAAGAAACCAGTCATTTGTTCTCTCATCATTTATCGCAGTTCTTCATAGATTTAGTGTACAGATTAATTGTTTCAGCCCTCACTGTATGAGGAAGTGCTAGTGGGAGTAGTTCTGCAAAGATGAGATAATGTAGTAAACTGGGGATATGTATCCATCCATCACAAATATGACATCCTACATCCTGCAAAACAGCTTTCCATCTTCCGTCACTCCAATATTATAGAAAATATAAATTTCAATTTCACAGGAGTTTTTTTGGGGGGAGATTATTTAGGGCTTCATATTTCAATTGTTGACTCAGAAAACTATACTGAACAGGGTTACATGTAAAAATGAATCGGCTTCCGGGTTGGCGCCATCGCCGAATGGCGGACTCCCTCCGAGCTCCGGAGGGAGTCTGCTCGGCAGGGGCTGGGTCCTACCGCGCCGGCGACGCGGGGACCCTTAAAAACCACGGGCACGGAGTCCGTGGACATGGGTGACTCGGCTTGCACCATTAGCGCCCTCCCGACTCGTGAAGGAGCCTTTTTAAAGGCTTCGGATCGGGTGCCGGGGAGCGGCGTGGTGCTTGAGTCCTCTGCTTTCCCTGCCGAGCGCAGCCGCATGCCATTCGACGGAGAGCGCTGACTTCTTCCATTGAAAATTTGGACTATTAACAACAACCCGTGAGTAATTGGGAAACCGGGTTCAAAATTTCGGATTTGGCACGAGCGGGGCGATTTAAAAGGAAGTCAATCCCCCTACTGTAAGCATTCCAAAACAAGGACTGGGTAACCAAGGTCCAAAGGGAAGTATATTCTTGATAAAAACCATTAATTTCACGATGGGAAATTATAAGAACTGTGCTGGAGGAGAAGAGTGGAGGGTGAGAAGAAAAATGCAACCCCCCCCCCCTGGGAACCGGGGCGATTCGTGGAGCCTGGTGAAGAGAGACGGAGACTTTGACAGCTGTTAAAGTGGCTGTCAAAGTTGGAGAATATAAAGAGGACTTTGTTATGAGGACTTTGCCGGTTAATTTTGCTACAATTTGCTACAATATGGATATAAACTGTTGGAAAATAAGCAACAATTTGACTTTTGGATTAGAGGATACAAAGTTATTACAATCCCCCTAGAGGGGTTTCGGGATATTACAAGAACGGTCGTAAGTGGAAAAATACTCTGGGATTCGCACAGGACTTGTTATCTTTTGGGAAAGCTGCAAAACTGAAATAGTATTTTGTCTACAGAGGTATTTACATTAAAGGAGACAATAGAATTTTCTATTGAAGAAAGGAAGGGACTGGACGTAAGTTTTTGTTCCTGAATAACAAACCTCTGCAGAGATACCAGATTTCTGAATTAGAAAGTTTTAGCAGCTGAACAGGACAAGAAACCTGAGAAAGTGAGGAAAAGAAGAACAAAGGACTGATTACGACACGGAAAGAACAACGGGAGGAGTGGTAAAGATCAAGGAAATTAAAGGCCTTTGTTAGATTGGACACTTGAAGTTACATATTATTAATAAATTAAAAGAAAACCGGCAAGATGGAATCGGGAGAAATTTGGTCATGAATTGAGACTTCCAAGCTGATAATGCATAGACTGATGGATATGGGGAATTCAAACCGGGGAAGGGGGAGATTTGAAATCCAAAGGCTGTGTAACCATCTTTTGAATTTTTCTATATCTTTTATTTTTTATTTTTTACATAACTTACGCATGTCATTTTATTTTGATTGGACGTGTTTAAAAACAGGGACTTCGTGGAAGGAACGGGGGTGGATCTTGGGGAAAATCTTTTTCTTTTCTTGTTAATGATGTGGGACGGTGGTAAGATTTGTACAATTCAATTTGGATAGTGGGTTAAACAAATTAAGCTTCAAATTGGGAGTGAGAGCTTGTAGAACTAAATTAAGGAAAGGGGAATACAGTCGGGGGAGGGGGAGTCCCAGAAAGTAGGCAATGAAAGTAAGGTTTTTAAATATCTTTTTTTCTTTTTCTTTTTTTCTTTGTATTTTTATATTTTTGGAAACTTTAATAAATATGATTTACATGTAAAAATGAATCAAATGGAGACACAGCAATGCTCAGTAAGAAAATATGTGTCTGACAGTTAGGTTGTTTGTTTTTTAATACATTGATTGGAAAATTAATGTTTTAACCCCAAAGCAGTGCAGAAGGAACTGGGTTTAAGCCCCGTTCCATGCCCAATAAGGATGGGATGCCTTTGTCCGGTGGCGCTTTGGCCCATAGATTTCAGCAAAATACTGGGCAATGTTTTGCCAAGTATCTTCTCTGTGTGGTGGGTCATGGGAAAAAGCTGTCCCATGAGCCCTTGTGAAGAAGGAGGGGAAGCCTATATAAGGCTGCTTCCCCTGGAGCTCACAGCCATTTTGCTTTGAGAGTGAATCCAAGCCATGGCAGACTGTTACAGGCCCCCTCAATCTAGCAGAGCAGCAGAAGGACTCTGGCACTGGCCCTGGCACTTAATGAGGGAATGAGGCTAAGCAAACACTAGTGCCTTTGTGAAATATGGTTTACTCTACACATATTAACAACCCGGGTTTTGATGGAGAGAATTCACAGCATTTACATCTCCAGAGGGATTTGTCCTTCCCAGCAATGTAGCGTTGGATTCAGAGGCATCCTAAGTGTCATCACCTGGTCTGCTTGTAACAGCCTGCTCCAGCCAGCCAGCATGGCTGCTCCCCTTCAGTGCCCATGTGGAGTTCTGCCTACTTCCTCCTTCACAGTAGCTGTTGCAGAAAACAACTCCTTCCCTTCAGCTTCTAGCTCTGCCCCCCGTCACCCTGGCAACCTCCAGTTCAAAACTTCCTGCAAGGCACTTTTTCCTGCGGTGACATCACACACCCCGTAATTCTAGCACCCTTTTGTTCGGGTAATGACTCTGTTATTACCTGTCTTTGTTCTCGAATGGTACCTCTCTAAGCCCAGCTCCTGAGGAAATGGGCTTGACTTCTTCTTCTTCTTCTTCTTCTTCTTCTTCTTCTTCTTCTTCTTCTTCCTTGTGAAATCAATTGATCAAACCCCACATTTATTTATTAATTCCAGAAATTATGGGGAGAACCTGGCACCCAGGAATTTTAAGGGATCCTTGCCCCCTGAAAGCCCGTAACAGGACGATTAACAGTGACTCGCTTTGATGCAACATAGTCTAGCCTCCTGTCAAACAAATCATGATGACTACCTAAGAAACAGGCCATCTGGAAGCGCCCTTGGACAATTACTTTAAAAAGGTTGTATATGTACACACTTCAAATGCTATGCTCACTATTTTTCATGTTGGTTAGAAATTGCATCTAGTTCCTTGAATGAGATTATGGTCAGAGGCATAGCTGGATAGCACAGTCGGTAGAGCATGAGACTCTTAATCTCAGGGCCATATGTTCAAGCTCCACGTTGAACAAAAAAATTCCTGCATTGCAGGGACTAGGACTAAATGTCCATTGGGGTTCTGAGATTCTATAGCCCAGTGGTAGGGCATCTTCTTTGCATACAGAAGATCCCAGGTTCATTCCCTGGCATTGCAGACCATGCTGGAACATATCCTCACCAGAAGCCCTGAAGATCTGCTGCCATGCAGTGTAGACAATACTGAGACAGATGGACCAGTAATCTGCCTTAGTACAAGTCATCTTCCTATGTTAGCTATGTTACAATGCCTGGAGGGCAGTAATGTGGTCACAGATGGGCTGAAGGCACCTTCCCATGTTCCTAATTATTGTGTACACTTACAAGCTTTCAAAATACCTCAGAATGAGATATTTATATCCATGAATCCCATTGCTCAGTTTTTCAGTAACTTTTCATTAGCATGCTCTCTTTTTAAACATACTCTTTGCAAGAGAAGCATGCATTTGGGATATGAAATTGGGATTTATTTGGTGAAACTCTTTCTGAGAGCAGTGCTTGGTGAAAATAACATTACCAAGCTATTTAAGGACATCATAGTTGTAGCTATGTTCCCTGAGCTCTACCAGCTGCATCTTCCAGATAAGCAGCCTGACTGGGCAGGGATAGCACTTTCCATGGTGTTGAAAACTCTGAATTTTGACACGTGATCTTGTTTCTCTCTGCAAGATGCTTATCTACCTGTTATCCATCTTGCATATTACTAGGAAGGAACACCAAAAGAAAAAGGAAGGCGGGGCAGGGGAGCTTGAAACTCCACAAGATTAGAATGTTGAATAATACTTAGTTGCGGTTTTCTTGCAAGCACGTAACATTCCTGCCTTCAGTTGCTAAATCTTATTATTCACAGAAATGCATATTTATCCTAGGATTTCAAGTGGGGTGAGAAGGAGAAAAAGTTGCTTTGAGACAACAGCTTTGTTTGTTTACACAATACTTTTTTTAAAAAAAATGGAAGTGCTGCTAGATTTCAAGGAGCAAAGAATTACGTATCTATTTTGGGTTTTTGAAGGGAGTATGATTACTTGTTGGCAACTGTCTTTCTCAAAAGACAACGAAGTGCATCTCTGGGGGTGAATTCAAACCTCTGGAGAATCATAGCGCCTGCTGTGGCTGCAGAGACTGGTAACTCTATCTGCTGCCTCCCACATTGTTTTTGTTTCATTAGCAGCACCGAAGTCACCTCTCTGGGGCACAAGGAGCTCACATATTTGCAAATTAAACCCTAAGCTGGACTTCAGTTCTAAATAACTAGTACACACATGCTGCTTTTATTTGAATGAATATGAAGCATTCATTTATTGTAATGACGTCTCTGAGTGCAAAATCTGGGTGTTCAAAGCATTCAAATTCTTCACACATACATAATGAAGGCAAATCTTCCCTTTCTTTTTCTTTTGGCAATCACTTGTAGCTGGGTAAGATTGTCTTCCATGAATAAGGTCTTAACGGTGTGTCCATAGGTGACTGTGGAGGCCAAATCTATGTCCTTCTACAGTGGGAACATAGGGTTCTGGGTGGGAGTTGATCACAGTGAGGATTTGCTAAACGTGCCTTCCTCTTAGCTCGTTTCTCCCTTCGTCTTGAGTTTGTGCTTCTTTAAAGTCCATGAAACCACTGGTAGAGGCTATTCTCCAGCTGGAGTGCTCACAGGCCAGTGTTTCCCAGTTGTCAGTGTTTATACTACTTTTTTCAGATTTGCCTTGAGAGCATCTTTAAACCGCTTTTGTTATCCACTGGCAATTTGCTTTCCATTCTTAAATTGATAATAGAGTAGTTGCTTTGGAAGATGATAATCAGGCATGTGAAAAAGATGACCAGTCCAGCAAAGTTGATGTTGAATAATCATTGCTTTGACACTGGTGATCTTTGTTTCTTCCAGTACATTGGTATTAGTTCGCCTGTCTTCCTAAGCGATATGTAATTTTTTGCAGAGAAACCGTTGATGGACCCTGTTACTATGGTCCCCTACTGGACATGCAGAACCATCAGTGACAGCAAAGTTTCAGTAGAACAGCCATAACGGATAAAAACGGATGCTAAGAATGAAAAATTCAGTTGTGTGTTAGGTTGGGGAAGCTGCTTTGATCTTATTTGCTGGATCTCACTGACTGTCATGTGAGACCCAGGCATCCTGAATGTTGACGTATGAATTACATCATCATAACATTGACATGATTAGGATTGTGCTTGCCTTTTGAAAAGATGCTAAAGTCATAAAGAGAAAAGCAATAGCAGCACCATGGGTATGGAAATATAAACATTGGTGGAACGTTTCAAAGGCATAACCTTGAAAAGCAGGGGTCCCAGTTATGCTTCCTACCAGACAGGTCATGTTAATCCATAGCCTATATCTTATATAGGTTTGCACATGTAAGTAATGAAATTGGCTTAAGAGATTGGAAATTCCATCCTTGTGATGTGATTTCTGACCAATTTATAATGTGTTCAAAGAATTATTTCCTCACTCTCTCTGCTTGCTACCTACCTGACTATTTTTGACATTTTTTTGCCGAGCTGAAGGTTGCCCCACAGCTTGGGTTGCATAGCTATCAGCTTTATTCCACAATGGTAAATAGGCTAGTAAACTTAGGAATTAGAATAAGTTGTGGTGCTTTGAACACAATTGGATGTATTGGAGGAAGGTAAAAGGATGCCAAATATTCAATTAGGATACAACATAACAAACACAATGCAATTATAATGCTATTCCTATGTGATTCTTGATATCAACACTTGGATGCATTCAGATTACATTTCACACTAACTTAGCTTTGCTCCTGAGAGGGTTAAAATGTGACTGGAGCTGGGTCAGACTTAGAACCATCCAGAGAAGCCCTGAGATGTGTAAATCCTTTACGGATTCAAACTTTATATTGATTTCCGTTTACAGTGTTAAGGATTTGGCCTGGATTTTCACTCTTGACTTGAACCTCATGGAGAACTGCCCTGAACTCCTTTGACAGCCTGAACTTAGATGGCTGCAACAGTGATGGTTCTATAATGTGAAATTGCAAAGGAAGAACAAAGCAGGGAAGTTGTGAAATTGCAAAGAAAGAACAAAAAGGAGAAAGCGAGCGAGAGCTTGGCAGCAAAATGAACATGGTTTCAACAATCAAAACAGATGAATAGTGCCTTTTGTAAAGGCTTTCTTTGCATTGTTCATTGACAACCATTTTAAGGTATTCATTTGCTAGGTAGCTGCAAAGAAAGAAAGAAGACATCCACGGAGGCTAAAATTTCAACTTTTTAATTTGTAGTTTTGTTGAATGCCTTCATTGCAGCGTCACCTGTTGATTTCTGTTCCTAAATTCCAAGCCATTCTCTGAAATGAAAGCACTCTTGGTTTTACACAGTTCAAAAATGCCAGTCAAGAGGAAAAATTCAAGGTGAATATCTTTATTTAGCATGTTGCTCTACATTTGTGGATATTACACGTACCACCTAGCATGACAGGCTCACAAATAAATAAATAATCTGTTGCATTATACGTTCCCCCTCACCACCACTCTAGTTCATCTTTTTAAAAATGTAGTCATTTGGATTACCTCACAGTAATAATTCAGCTCCATCGTGGACAGAGAGGTGCTGCGGTGTCTTAATTTTAGATCCTTGATTCTATCCAACATAGGAAAGAAGGCAGGGAGAGACTGCTGCACTGAACTGAAAAACAACTACAACCCACATTCTACACCCATCATTAGCATTTTCAGCACTAACACTTGTTACTTGGGAAATGGTGGATGGGAAGAAACCTCTTCTGCCAACAGGAAATCAGCACTATCAAAACTGAGAGCAAGAACCTACCATTGTGTGATGTGAGAAACCATTGTGTGCAGTCATGTGCATTGTTACTGTACATAACAATTTCTGGGAAAGATGGCTATATTTTCACTTTACTGCCTATGAGATTTTCTTTTCCTTTCTTTTCAAATGGATGCTATTATTCTTTTTCTGTATCTTTCCAACCTGACATTGTTGTCATAGATTTACCAGAGGCCCTTCAATAAATCTAGAATAACTTGAGTGGTTTTACTAGACCTGCACTTTTACACTGATGTAAGTGAGAGCACAATTTATCTCCTCTCATTCCACTGTGACTGAGATCTAACGGCTAAGTTATAAGGAATGCAACGAGGGCTTTGCCAGATCAGATCAGCCTCGTGGACCCTTTCATTCTATAGCTCATGATGGAATTTTAATTTTAATTTCTCTGGAACTCCACCTCTCATGATGTTCTGGAGAGTCACCATACCCTCTAAAATAAATGTTGGGTGGGGCACTGAGGACTGCCAATTCTTCTAGTGTGACTCTTCTGCTTGATCAGAAGTTTTCTACAGATCGAAGGCATTCTGTTTGGGGGACACAAAATCTGGATGAAACCAGGACAACTCTCCCAGCAAAAAGTGTTACCCATTTGCTTTGATACTGATAGAAAGTATGCCACATACGTATGCTCTGATTTGCTCTTGGGCTCCAGGCAGTACCGTTCTTATCTTCACACCAGTGTTAGCAAATGTTCTCTGCATGCCTAGAAATGAAGTCAGTGGGGACATATTCGTTATGTTTATACAAAGGACAAGCTGCTGAATCTCTGAGGATTGGGTGGATTCTGCAGATCTGCCATTTTGTAATAGGGCTAGAATATTATACTAGCTGCTTTCCCCCAATGTGTATTAAAATGGTCCATGGACACTGGGAATGCAAATTTTGTTCAATTCCATTATACCGTTGTCACCTCACCTCATAACGTAACTTCCAGCTACGTGTTTCTACTTCTAATGCTGGTTCCTCTCATTCCTATGAACCATGCCCTTTGTAGACATTTGATAAGCTTATTCCACATATCACAGCATCAGCAATACCAGTGAGATAAGTAATCTCCCTTTAATGTAACCACTGCACTGTCATTTGCAATTGGATTCTTTCACACAGTTCAAGGCACTGTTTCCACTCACATACATGGATAATATATTATTCATTGACCCTTGTGGCATCCAAACCAGGAAAATGGCATATAGCTGACAGAAAACCTCACACAAAAAAAGCTAGTTGTGTGTTTGGATTTTACAATAAGGACAGCCCTGTTCTCTTGAAAGGAGAGTTTACAGAGGAAAGCTTAGGAAGCAGTTTCCACGCAACTGATGACAATCTAATGTTGAGTTTAACAGACTAATGGCTGGAGTTCTTAATGCCTCAAAAAGATGAGAAACATATTTGCAGCTCAGGGGTATTTATCCAAGTATTTTTTTAAAAAAAAATAGCAAAATGAAGGTCTACATCCTGGAGGTGTTTAACTGACTGTGCATGATGTATATCCCTTCATAAAGGTTAACTACCTTAGTGAAAGCGAGGCTTAATAAGGCTGGATGGAATAATACATGTCTCTGTGGTTTATTTATTTATTTATTTATTTATTTGTACAATTCACATATCACTTAATAAGGCAGGATCTCTTAGTGGTCTTCATAAAATAGACTAAATGCAAACAATAAATAAACACTGGGGAAGAAATCAATATCATAGAAAAAAATACATCAGTAATATTCAGTAAAACAAAAGTTTAAAAACCTGAGTTACAACTGAGGAAAGCTATATAATATAGGTTAAACTGAGCAGGGCATGATAAAAAGAAAATTGAACATTTAACAGTCAGCGTTCATCAAAGCCTAGCTAATAATAATTCATGTAAAGTTTATATGCTATCTCTGCCTCTTGGATTATCCAAGGGGAAAACATCCCAAAAGGTGGGTGCTGCCACCCCTTTGTACTGTCACCAATTTATAGCCTGATCTCTCCAGAAGATCTTTAGATATCAGCTTGGTCAGTACTGAGGGAGGCAGTCCGCTGAACAGTCTGGCCACAAGGATTTTAAAGTGGGGGACTCCCTGGTCCTGAATTGGGATAACTGTGCCCCTGAAGGACCAGGTGCGCAGACTGGGAGTCATTTTGGACTCACAGCTGTCCATGGAGGCACAGGTTAATTCTCTGTCCAGGGCAGCTGTCTACCAGCTCCATCTGGTACGCAGGCTGAGACCCTACTTGCCCACAGACTGTCTCGCCAGAGTGGTGGATGCTCTAGTTATCTCCCGCTTGGACTACTGCAATGTGCTCTACGTGGGGCTACCTTTGAAGGTGACCCAGAAACTGCAATTAATCCAGAATACGGCAGCTAGACTGGTGACTGGGAGTGGCCGCCGGAATCATATAATACTGGTCCTGAGAGATCTGCATTGACTCCCAGTACATTTCCGAGCACAATTCAAAGTGTTGGTGCTGACCTTTAAAGCCCTAAACGGCCTCGGTCCTGTATACCTGAAGGAGCATCTCCACCCCCATTGTCCAGCCCGGACACTGAGATCCAGCGCCGAGGGCCTTCTGGCAGTTCCCTCATTGTGAGAAGTGAGGTTACAGGGAACCAGACAGAGGGCCTTCTCGGTAGTGGCACCCGCCCTGTGGAACACACTCCCATCAGATGTCAAGGAAATAAGCAGTTATTCTATCTTTAAAAGACATCTGAAGGCAGCCCTGTTTAGGGAAGTTTTTAATATTTAATGCTGTACTGTTTTTAACACTTGATTGGGAGCCGCCCAGAGTGGCTGGGGAAACTCAGCCAGATGGGTGGGGTATAAATAATAAATTATTATTATTCCAAAATCTGTGCCAATTTTGATCAGGTTCCAAACTAATCAGGGGTGTGGCTGGGATATGCACATAGGCAACTTATTTATGACTAGATCATTTCTCAAGTTATCACATTGAAAATACTGTTTACAAATACGACTTAGGATTTATGTTAAAATGTTGCTCTTGCTACTGAAAATGATGTGCAAAATGAATTTCATCCCGGATGACTACTAGTAGGATCCCGATCACCTTTAGAAGAAGTATGAAGTATGTGACAGGACACAGTGAAGTGTTTTCTTTTCAGAAATAGGGAGAAGGCTTTGGTTTAATCTATTATTTCTACTAAATATAGGAGGTTTTCCAAACGCATCTTTTGAGCTGAAGCTCTGGAACCTGTACTGAACCACAGAGGAATTGCATTAAAATTATTTAACAGTAATTGCATGCTGTCAAATCAATTATCTTTCTTCCTCAAAAAATCTAATGGAGACTTCTTGATAACATGTTGTATAGCTGCTTTTCAAAGGGGACCAATTAGCCAAATGAATTCAAAACAAGAATGTTTGCACTGCTGTTTTAGCACATATTATTGTTGAGAAAGCTCCCAGTCTTATATGATAATTTGGCACAGTTGTGTTTCATTTCAGTGCCTAAAAAATACGGGAGCTGGTTTGGGGTGTTGCTGCTGCTGCTTTTGTCTTAGTTTATTCTGTGGGATTTTTCTCTATGAGGGGTGAAAGTGTCATCCATCCAAGCATTCATTTCCTATTGACAAAGAGAAACAAGCCACACTCTAGATATGCAGTATCTCCCATTTGAGAAAAATTAAAAGTTCAGAAGCTAAATGCTCTTGCTTTTCCAGTTAGACCTTTTTGTTATTTAAACAGATGGTTATTTTCAAGTGCTTTCTCCCAAGAGACAGGACAGAAAATATGTTAACATAGAACTGTTCTTCCTTATCATTTCATTCAACGAAGGCTAGCTTTATTTCCTTCTTAATATATCTACAAAGCATGGGGGATGCTGTGTGAAAGGAACTGTATCCTTCTACAGCAAAATATAATACATCTATAGAAAGTCGCTTAGTCCAATCCTACTATGTTTACCAGTACTTTCATTTCTAAGAGATTATTTTCACACTTCAATATTAATCTAATGATTTTTTTAAGTACAAAAGATTTCTTTCAAGAGTTCTAAGGTACATAGCAGACACAGGACCCCTGTCTTTCTTGAAGAAAAGCCCAGACAAGGATGCAATGGGGTTTTCAGGAATTGTAGGCACTGTGAAGGCTGCAGAGTGCTGACCGCTGATGAGGTGGATTGTTGAATTAACACCTGGCAAAAGTGAGGTGAGTACAACACACAAACCATATGTAGAATACCATAGAGAATTTCACCAAAAGGTTTCCGCCCTCCTTCGAAAATTTTCAAATGAAATTTTGTTTCTCTTTAATCAATGAAGGATAGTCAAAAAAGAAGTTCATGTAGGAATGAGCAGAATCTTCATGGGGTTTGTAGGTTCTGTTTATAGACACACACACACACACACACACGAAAGATTGCCCATTTGACAAGAGATACCTTTCATCAAAATATGAATCTATTTAATATGGTTGGGGTCGTTTCTCAACCCTGGCGCATGAAGCCTTCAAGTGATCATAACACAAGAAAAACAGAGATTCGCAGACACTCAGTAGTCACTCTCTCTGTTTTGATCAAAGACATCATGATGTAATTATTTCTATGGGCTTTTTCAGATCTGAGTAGCTGGGTAGAATACTAGTTAAATCTTTAATGAAAAGAAACAGACACCACCCTCAGCCACTTTGAAGCAATACAATATAATTTTGATAGGCATGGGGTTGATCTTAAAGAAATTCCATGCATGAGGCAAACACATGGAAGCCTCCTTGGGGAGGAATACCTATTTCAGGAAACTGGAGGTCAGGTTCTGGAACAGTACTAGTAAGCATTGCCTCCTCCTACCCTTCTCTAAAGTAGCCCTTTATCTCCCAAAGAAGAAATAAATAAAATATACTGCTAATTTAAATGCAACCAGCTTCTGGTTGTTGTTGTTGTTGTTGTTGTTTGTATAGTAGTTAAGAGGTATAAATCCCTGATTCAATCTCCATTTAAGCATGAACTCACAAGGTGAATTTAGGCAAGTGCCAAAGCTCCATCATTTGTAGAAAGCAGAGGGCCTTCTCAGCAGTGGTGCCCTCCTTATGGAACACCTTCCCATCAGATATCAGGGAGATAAAGAATTACAAACTTTTAGAAAACATCCTTTTAGAAAACAACAGCCCTGTTCAGGGAAGTTTTTAATGTCTGACATTTTATTATTTTTTATATTTTGCTGGAAGCTGCCCAGCCTGACTTGGGAAACCCTGCCAGATGGGCGGGGTATAAACAATAAAATTAGAAGTAGTAGTGGTAGTAGTAGTACAGTGGTACTACTCGGGTTAAGAACTTTGCTTCAGGATGAGAACAGAAATCATCCATCGGCGGCGCAGCGGCAGGCCCCATTAGCTAAAGTGGTGCTTCAGGTTAAGAACAGTTTCAGGTTAAGAACGGACCTCCGGAACGAATTAAGTACTTAACCCGAGGTACCACTGTAGTGGGGAGGGGGGGTAGTGTCAGAATTCATGGAAGGATTACTGAGAACATGTACGTAGAAATCTGTGACCAATGTAGAAAACTGCTATATGTATTATTATTGAAGTCTCTAACTGAAAACTGAATATGCACTTAAGAACCTAACAAGGGCCCTGTTGCATCAGTCCAAGGGCCCATCTAGTCCAGGACTCTGTTCTCACAGATGTCCATGGGAGCGCCTGAAAGCAGAACCTGAGTGCAACAGTGCTCTGCCCACCTGTGATTCCCAGCAACTGGCATTCAAAGGCATACTGCCTCTGCCAGTGGAGGTAGAACATTGTTCCCAGTAGCCACTGATAGCATGAACCTCCACGAATTTCTCTCATTCTCTTTTATTCAAACAAACTCCATAGCTTAGCAATGCTCTGTGTAAACAAGTACTTCCTTCCAACATTCTGAGTTCCAAGTCTTCCAACATTCAGCTTCATTGGATGTCCCTGAGTTCTAATATTCAGACAGAGAAACGTATTCTTACCCACATCCTCCTCCACATCACACTTAATTTTACTCACCTTTGCTCTAACCTAAATGCCCCAAATGTCAAAACTTTCCTCATAGGGGAGTTGCACCACCCCCTTGACCATATTAATTGTGCTTCTGTGAACCTCCCAGCTTTACAGCATCCTGTTTCAGGTGAGCAGAACTGCACACAGTATACCAATTACAGTTGCACTATAGATTTGTATAATGTCATTATGATATTGGAAGTTTAATTTTTATTCCCTTTCCTGATGGTCCCTGATGCCTTTTTTGGTAAAACTGCCACACACTGGGTCAACATTTCTGAGATAATCACTCCAAGGACCGATTCTTGAAATTTAGTCATTGCCAATTCAGGTCCTCGTGTGTGTGTGTGTGTGTGTGTGTGTGTGTGTGAAATTTAGATCTTTTTTGCTCCAATATGCATCAGTTTACACACTGAATTGCAGTCTTTCAACAATCTTGAATAATTCTCCTCAATCCAATCTCTCTCTCTTTGTATACTAGTCTGTCCTCATATCTGTCTACAGTGCATTTCCTACTGAGTCTTGGAACATGAATAATGAACAATTATCCCTTTGGCAAACCAGGAAATGAGAAGGTCTATGTTAAGCATTTGAAGATCTCACATCAAATCTGTGCAGAATCAAGAATAGAATCTCTATTCTTAGTCCCTATTAAGTGCTAGACTATGTTTCATCTCTGGATAAAATAATGTTATATGTGAACTTGAAAGTGATTCTTGTAATATGACGAGGGGAAAATCATTCTATATGTGGAGATGACAGCACTTTACTCATTTAAGGGTAGGAGCATCTGGTATAGAGTGAAACAGGAGAGAGAACAAGAAATATTCTATTGGGAAAGGCCATCTATTTCATAAATGTAAGTTTCAGTGACATGTTACAAAATGAATCCCAAAAGAACTGTTGTACATAATGTACAGGTTTATTACATATTATTAATTAGTAATGGCTGCCACGAGGCCAATAATTAGGGGAAATCTGGACCACAACAATTATACCAATTAGGGGCTTCATTAAGAGTTGAGCAATAAATACATTCCATACTTCGCAAAGTCTATCTGCCTGTGAGCTCTTGCAAGGACTTATTCACATTATTTTTAAGGTGATAAGATACGGTTTGAGTGAAAGGTTTGAGGGGTTTTTTTACTCTCCCAGACATGTGACAAAGGTGAAAAACCCTGCCTTAGGGGACATATTTGGTGGTACCATTAAAAGTAGCAAACTGCCATTTTGTTGTTTATTATTATCCCTTTACAACAATGGGTAGCACATTTTATATTTTCTGCTTGAGGCACAGAAATATTACTGTTATTATAGTGTCTGAGACAGAACTGTATATTAAAGAGACAAAGCATCTAATACTGGGGTAATTATGGACATTGCTGCCAGCATTTTGTTTCTAGCATGGGGTTCAAAGAACTCCTGTTCAGTTGTAACACTCAGCAGATTAATTAATTTGGGAAAGAAAATCTTTCTGAGGATAACATGGTGACAAATTTACTTACACTACCCTAAGCACTTTAAAAGAAGGGTAAGACGCAAATGTTATAAATAAGGAATAAATACAGTGTTTTATGACCTTGGCCTCTAGAGTGGCCTTTCTGTATATGTTCCATAACATTTCATTTGGTTTCATAATTAATACTTCTGTTTTATTATGTTGAACTACTTTGAATAGAGGATTTGTTTTACTTTCCTTTATTTTTAGTGCAATCATTTTTTATTTGATCTTTACATTTTGCTGGATTCTGTAGCAGTGATCAATGGCATCTGGGCCAAAGAGTACTGTCTGGCTTACTGGCAATGGCCCATTTACAGGAATACAAAATAAAATAAAATAAAATAAAATAAAATAAAAATACTACATTTGAGAGGTTACATTGAGTTGCATAATTTTGCAGTACTTCTTAAATAAAACTAGCAAGCAGCTGCAGTAATAATAATAGTAGGAGGGTTTTTGTTGTCATCAGAGGGCTCTAGCTTCTGTATTTCGAGGCTTACTTATATGCAGACTCATGCATGTGTTTGCGTCAAGAAGTGTAGTGTGTACAGCAAACAGGGACAAATATGGCCAAGGGGAAATTCCTGGGACTTTAGAGGCTAGAAAAATGGCCACCACAAGAATAGAAATTGTTGCATCCATACACATAATTCCCTGGGTTATATGTTAACATTTGTCTGTGAATGTGAGTTTTTCACATATGCATTTTCTTTATAAACTGGCCCACAGAGCTACTTGGAACAAAGACCTTATTGACCTTATTATTATTTTTTAAATGTATTCTCCACTTCAGTAATCCTTGGCAGATGCAAGTACAACACTTCCCTAAAAAGTTCCAAGGAAGGAGATTCGGTCTCCCTAGAGAGTTTTCTCTGTTGTTGAGGTGTTCATATAACTAAGAAGTTTGTTCTGATATCTACCATGTTCTTCCACCCTTTTCTCAGTAGCTTCAATGTCCAACCACTATCCCATTAAATTCAGCATAGGTAAAGGTAAAGGGACCCCTGACCATTGGGTCCAGTCGTGATCGACTCTGGGGTTGCGGTGCTTATTTCACTTTATTGGCCGAGGGAGCCAGCATACAACTTCTGGGTCATGTGGGCAGCATGACTAAGCTGCTTCTGGTGAACCAGAGCAGCGCACAGAAACGCCATTTACCTTCCCGCCAGAGCGGTACTATTTATCTACTTGCACTTTGATGTGCATTCGAACTGCTAGGTTGGCAGGAGCAGGGACCGAGCAACGGGAGCTCACCCCATCGTGGGGATTCGAACTGCTGACCTTCTGATCAGCATGTCCTAGGCTCTGTGGCTTAACCCACAGCACCACCCACATCCTGCACCTTCAAGGTATTCCCTCATTCCCCCCCTTTCGTTTCAGATATATACAGCTTGTTCATTCAAGCTTTTCTCAAACGATTTGGTTTCTGTTCACTGCTGCTCAGCTACACGTTGACCAGGCAGTCTCCAAAATCAGCAGTTCAAAGTGTCAGCTGGCATATTTCCTAAGCCTTCATGTAAGTGTGCAGAATTGGTGGCATTTATGAACGCACACCAGTCAAATCACATTAATCACAACATAATGCAGCATGACTAATTTCTCCTCATGAGTAAACACTTACTTAAGATCAATAGCACGTAATATTTCAGTAAACAGCTGTTGAATGAAAGCCTCTATTAACACTTCTATGATGTTAAATCTTTTGTACTTCCTCAAGAGATGGCAATAATGGAAGATTTTTTTAAAAAAATGAAAAAAAAAATGACATGTTCGAGCCAATTCTGACAATTCTGACAACTTCCTGGGAAGAAGGTAATTAAGTATAACTTCCTCATTTTGCAAATGGAGAACCGCTGGCACCTCAGCCTCCTGCAGAGCACTTCATGGGGAATTACCTATCTGGTTATAGCAGAAGTTGAACTAGTCACCTTGTCTTTCACTCAAATTAAAGCAATAATAAAAGTATTTTCAGGTCTTAAACTAGAGCTATATGAATGCTACAAATATTTTAAATTAAAGTATAAGTATAGCTATTTTAATATGGTCCATCCACTCTTTCTTAGTACGTCCTCCCTGTGAAATGGCTCATTTTACCACAATGAAAGCAGCAATGAAAATAAACTGAAGCAGAGCTGTGCTTATGCAAACAGAATCTTAGAAGATGGCTGCTGAGTGCTTGGAGCAGGGTTTAGAGTTCTAAGGCCAACTCTAATGCAAGTCTCTGTTCTATAACCAATTCTTAGTACAGTACCTGTTTTTATTCCCTCTTCGATTTTACTTTTTTATTCCTTTTAGTGCTCCGTTTTGTTGTTTTAATTTATTGTTCTAAAAAAGGTAAAGGACCCCCGACAGTTAGGTCCAGTCGCAGACAACTCAGGGGTGGCAGCGCTCATCTCACTTTACAGGCAGAGGGAGCCAGTGTTTGTCCGCTTCCACAGACAGTTTTTCCGGGTCATGTGGCCAGCATGACTAAGCCACTTCCGGCAAAGCCAGAGCAGCACATGGAACGCTGTTTACCTTCCCACTGGAGTGGTACCTATTTATCTGCTTGCACTTTTTTGGGGGGGGGGGTGCTTTCGAACTGGTAGGTTGACAGGAGCTGGGACCGAGCAAGGGGAGCTCACCTCGGTGCAGGGATTCAAACTGCCAACCTTCTGATTGGCAAGTCCAAGAGGCTCAGTGGTTTAGACCACAATGCCTCCCGTGTCCCTTTTTTGTTCTAACTCCCCTTAAATTGCAAGACTGCACGAAGCTAGACTGGGCTGAGTACTTTACCAGGCAGTGCTAAACGCAAGGACTATGATAGCTTTCTGAAGATGCTTAGATTTTGCAGCTTTGTTACATGTTCACCTTTAATTCTGTCAATGTGGACCTGCAAAACTGTATACTTGAGCAAACCTCTTTAGGTCTGCAGAATAAGGTAAAGGTAAAGGGACCCCTGACCATTAGGTCCAGTCGTGGCCGACTCTGGGGTTGCGGCACTCATCTCGCTTTATTGGCCGAGGGAGCCGGCGTTTGTCCGCAGACAGCTTCCGGGTCATGTGGCCAGCATGACTAAGCCGCTTCTGGAGAACCAGAGCAGTGCACAGAAACACCTTTTACCTTCCTGCCGGAGCGGTACCTATTTATCTACTTGCACTTTGACGTGCTTTTGAACTGCTAGGTTGGCAGAAGCTGGGACCGAGGAACAGGAGCTCACCCCGTCGTGGGGATTCAAACCGCCAACCTTCTGATCAGCAAGTCCTAGGCTCTGTGGTTTAACCCACAGCGCTACCTGTGTCCCTAGGTCTGCAGAATTCCTTTTACCAATTGGGACTTTCAATTGGAACTTAGTTAACAGTTGTTGATTATGCACTGCTTTGAAGTTTATCTATTCACTCGTTGAATTTCTGTCCCACCTTTCCACCAAATAGTGCTCCGGGTGGCATTTCAGGGGTATGGCAACACAAAATCAGATGTAAGCAAACTTATTGTCAACCATATTGCTTTTTCTTTTACAGAACAATTATAGCTTTTTTTTACAAAAAACATTTTCTGCCACCATCATTTTTAAAAGACGCACCCCAAAATAGACCCCAGAGTTTGGTCCTAAATTGCATGATGCTTCACAATTTATGCTTTGACAAAAACAACAAACAAAATTCCTAGAAAGCTGGTGTAGCCTATAGCGGTTAAGGTTGCAATCCTAGCCATATCTGTGCAGAAGTAAGGCTCATTAAAGTAATTTCCAAGTACTTCCTTTTGCCTGTGCTGAATCACCTGCCAACATTTACAGATGAGAAGACAGCTGTAAGTCTGAATAAATGACCAACTTCCCTGTGCAGCATCTATCACCCAAGTGCATAAGAAATGTCTTGCTTCAGCAAATCAAGGCCCATCTATCTCCACAACCTGTTTCCACAGTGGCCAACCAGATACCTATGGAAAGCTGAGAAACAGAATCTAGATGAATATTTGTTGTTGTTGTTGTTGTTGTTGTTGCTGCTGCTGCTGTTGTATTTATTTATATCCCTCTTTTCCCAAAAACATATAGTTATAAATAGTTAAAAAGTAATTAATAGTTAATAATAGTTAAAAAGTAATTTAAATATAGTAGAATTAAAACAATATAAAAACAAAAAGATAAAAATACAGATAAAAAACCACTTTGTATTGCTGGCTGTGTTCTTCTGTCATATTCAACTGATGTAATCTTTTTGCATTTAGTTACTGTGTATATTTTGTTTGCTTCAGAGATTTACCTTAGCCAAGCTGAGACTGCTCAGTTTTAAGTCCCTTGCTGCATCACTTTTTGTACTTTCCATGCCATATTCATCTTATTTATAGATTAATAAACTGTGAATAGGTCGTGTGGTCTTTTCTTATATACTCAGAAGTTCACACTGAATGGGCGCTCTCTTTTAATTAATCATTTCCTCAACATAGTAGTAGGGGTTTACCACAAAGTCAGAGTGAGGAGCATCGAGTAGAGAAAGAATCAACTGCTGAGAGGATTAAACATAGTTTTCAAAACTAGTTTAATATAAGACCTGTTGTATACTTGGAAAAGACTGTTTGGCATCACTTGCAGCTGGTTTTGCAGTTAGGTGGCAGCAAAGTGAATCGCTCTGAGTCAACAAAGCACCTCGAATTATCCAAACATAGATAGTGGACAGAAAAACAGAGCAACAGAAGTTCTTGTAAACAAACTGCCTCATTGGCTTCTCTATCATACTGCTTATTGTGTGCTTTGCTTGCAGAGTTTTGTACATCCAGACATGGACAGAAGACAAATGACATTCCTTGTCCCACTTCCAGTCCCTTGAATTGTAGCCAGTGTTCCTCAGATTAAATTCCCCATCTGTAAAATGGGAATAATCGTGAATGAACTCGTATGGCTTTTGTACAGATATGAGAGATAGACAGATTGTCAAGCACTTGTGCATGAGTCAAAGGTAGATGATGCCCGAGAGAGCAAACCAACTGTGAGCTCACAAATTGAGCTCGGCTGTTGTTTTCTGTTTCTCTTTCTGTGAAATTGAGAACAGGATGTTTGTGTCACTTCCTCCTCGTCCTGCAATCTGTCGCAAACAGCTCCTCTACCACCTACATAATGTCAAAAAACAAGGGTCCTGCTGTCACTGCACCTGTCTGCTTTCCTTTCAGTATGAGCCGTTTAAGATGCTTTCTTATCTGAGGTGAGTTGAAAGCTTGTTGGCAGAGGGAAGGATCTGAGCAATACCCGCCATACGAAATATGGCAATTCCAACTATTAAAGGTCACGCTTAGCTAAGCATCTGAAAACCAGCGTGCTTATCTAAACTTCACATGCTTTGCAAGGCAGACTTCAGAAGCTGATGGTTTCATACCGTTTCTTCCAGCGGAAGACATTTCCACTTCAATTGTACTGCTAGGATTGCACAGGCTGAAGCAAGCTGCATTTATCAGCTCAACAATGGTAATAATCACCCCCTTCCATTTTAAATAGTTGGTTTTAAATTAAGGCCTGTTAGTCACCTGTCACCCATTTTATTCTAAAGTGTTTTTAAAAAACTTAAAATATCTCACAAAGTGTTCTCTTATGTTGAAATAGTCTCTGATGAAGCACACAGAGAAATACATGAAGACAGGGACCTGCTTTACTCAAAGCCAAATCAGAACATCAGGGCCATCAAGCTCAGTATTGTCTAAATCCATGGTTCCCATCGAGGGGAACACACCCCACAGGGGGACAATTTGATTTTTAAGGGGGTAATTCTAGAATGAGTTATTAACAGTTAATGGCCTTGAAATATACTCAGAGTCCTGTAGTGATTTCATGCTCTTTATTGCAGTTTGTAAAACAGTGATTCATTTGCCCCACCAAAGCTCAGGCTTTTATATACATTATGTACACAATGAGTCCCGTCTGATTGGCTTGATTCTGCTTCCCTCCTGGAGCCTGATTGGTCTTTTTCTGCAGGCGAATCAGTTGTTGCATTCTAGGATCCTACTTGCCTATTGTTCTAGGATCTAAGCTTAGTACATAACAGGCCTTTTAGACTTGCTCCATGTGAATAAGAGTTCACTTTTTGAACAATAATAATTATATGTCACTGGGGTGTGTGTGTCAGGATTGTAGAGATGCTTAGGTGGGGCATGGCGAAAAAAATGTTGGGGACCACTGATCTAAACTGACCTCCAGGGTTTCAGACAAGGACTTTCCCAGAGCTACCAGGAGATGGCTGGGATTGAACTTGAGAACTTGGCTATGCAAAAGCATGAGCTCTACCCCTGAGCAATGGTGCCTCCCTGAACAGGACACAACAGCTTAGCTGCCTCCAGCAAAACACCTCTCTCAAAGTATTAACAACAAGGAAAAGGTTGTGGACAGAGTGGGGGTGGGAGGGGGAAAGGGATTGTATCCACTTTCCTCTGATGGTCCCCCTGGCCACTTGTCCTTTCACACACCATAAGTGTCCTTGTGTGACATCACTGCCCTGTTGTTTGGGCAGAGGGAACAACTCTTTGTACAGTACTGTCATTGGTAGCAGTTGATGTAACAACAACAGTGGGGTTATGGTTGGGTCCTGGAAAGATGTCAGCAATATTCCTATCATGTCTGTATCGTGAGGCTGTTAAACCCAGTTCATTGAGTTATACAGGCCCAGTTGTGCCAATTCAAGTCGCTCACAGGATGTGTGCTGGGAGAAGAGACTTCTGGGTACATGTTTTGTGTTCAGGATGTCCCAGGTTCCATTCCCAGTATCTTCAGGTAGACCTAAGAAAATCTCCTGGCTGAAACTGCAGAGAGCCACTTCCGATTGACCCTGCTGAGCTAGATGGACCAATGGTTCCTGCTCAGTATTAGCAGGGCTGGATTTAGGTTTGATGAGGCCCTAAGCTACTGAAGGTAATGGGGCCCTTTATATGTCCAGCTGTCCTTTGTCAACAACAAATTGTCACTTTTTTGTGTTGAATATATGCTATATGGTAATTTATGGACCTAATACAGTAGGTATCTAAAGCCATTTGCACATAAAGGTTTTATTTTATTAGTTTTTTATCTTATATTTTGGAAATGTACATCCAGTTTTTCCTTCCTTTAAATTTTTTTGGAGCCCTCAAGAGAGTGGGGCCCTAAGCTATTGCTTGTTTAGCGATGTTTCACAGTTCCCATGATTGCTTCCTGCTTCAATACAATTGAAATGATTTACCAACAATTCTAGTTCATTTCTAGGGAAGCTTTTTGTGGGGAGGGTTCTGTCTTAAATGCCTTTCAGAAGAAATGTCATACTTTTGTATTGCTTTTAAGAACCTGAAAAACAACACAGTTTAAAAATATCTGTTTTCAAGAGTGAAAATTATTTTGTTCTTTTAAAACTAACAAAAGAGCAAACCAAAATATATACTTAGGTTTAGTGCGAACTTTTCAGTCAGAGGCCATTTTAGCGACAGTAGTTCACTAACAGCTTATAGTACTGCAAGTCGTTCAGTGGTAATTGTTGGAGGGTTACATAAGAAACACAGGACCAATCCTGGTTTCTGCTTTAATGCACTTAGTTCCCATGGAATCCAACGGGCATCATTGCCTTTAGCTATATAACTCCATTTAAAAGAGTTCAGAGAAATAGAAATGATGTATAATTTAGAGCTTTGAAGAAGAACATATGGTGAGAGGCTCGTGAAATTCAGCTTATATACTTTGAAGAGAAGCAGGACCATAAGGTGATTTTTAACACAGCTCTCAATAAAAAGCTTTTAAAAGGCATCACAAATTGGTACCAGAGGCTTATTTGAGGGTATTTTCTCCCAGACTTGAGAACAGTAGGATACAAACTGCAGGAAAGCAAGGTCAAGTCCCAGTGGAGCATGGGTCAGATTTCTTAACATGCAAAATATTTAAATTACCCTAACAAGAAACTCAAAGTAAGAACAGAAAGGACAAGTATTTGGCAGAGAAGATATGTCAGTAGTTAATTAGCTCCTTGTGGCAGGACATGAAGCACCCAACAGTGTTATGTCATGAGTCCAAGTGTAACTGAGAAAGCAATTTACACTAGCAGAAACCTTCACAGCAGTGGCTCCTATAGTCTGAGCCTGTCAGTGTTTGGATTCTGGCTCCTTCTTGGGCTCTGAATGGATATAACATTGGACCTCAACTGTTCTCCAGAAGAATGCAGCAGTCAACTAGAAGCTGCTAAGAACAAAATGTTTTGTTTTTTAAATTAAACGTCTGTCTTCCAGGTACATTGATCTCCTCATGTCTGTAAATTCCCTTTATTATCTCACAGTACAGCAAGGAATTTGCTACTCTCTTGCACCCCTGGAAACTTTTTCATTTATCTACACCATGCTGAGTATGAATTCTGTTCAAATACAATGGACTTCCTTTTGCTAACATGGACGCTTTCCACTTGGTGTGATCAAGAATGCTTTTCATGCATTTGAAACTTTGTTTCAAAATGTGCATATTCGGCAAGAGGCAATATTCACAGGATTGGAGGTGGGGGCTTGTACTCCTTCTACAACCCCCTGCTTGATGCAAGAAATCAAGAGCTAGAGCATCCCCAAGAAGATGGCTGACAGGTAGAAGATATCCCGTAACATAGCTCCCACTACTCTTCTCTGTAATTGTATTCTTGAGAAACTGCTCTTATCATCAAGATATTCTGCCCATTTGTTACTTAGGACCATTATAAGCAGCCCAGCACTCTGGGTCAGCATGAGACAAGTCTTGCCTTTACCATATTTGAAGGGCAGTATCATGTTTTCCCCTCAGTCTTCTCTAGGGATGGATGGTTCTGTCAATTTTGGTTCTCTTTGTTTCTCTCTCTCTTTTAAATTTTAAATTCAGTTCTCCACGTTTCTGCAGCAAATTATGATTTTGTTTAACAAATTGCTTATGAAAACCCATCCACTTCTTACCTACTAAGCACATTTTTGTATGTAGTTGTGACTAATACACACATTTTTGGAAGTAGTTTCCCCAAATATAATGATTATCATATATTTATTTATTCCCCACATTCTCCCCTGACTCAAGGTGACTTATAGATATAATGCCTTTTCTGAATGTTGTTAGCACTAATATATGCATTTTAGGCACATTCTCTGATAGGAGAATGTATGTTGTACACATTGTTTCGCTGGAGAACTGCCTCACCCAAATTCTAAGAAGTGAGAATTTTGAAGGATAGCTATTTTTTCAGTATTGGTGGAAGAAATGCAAGTTTAGTAGTTTCACATTTCTATGCAAACAAAAGCAAATTTCTTCCCCATTTCTACTTTCAAGAATGGCATATTTGACCAGGGTGCAATAATCTGATGTGCTAAGTACTCTCTCTTATTTACAAATGTCAGCAAATCTGCTTTACCATTCCTCCATTGATACTTATGAACCATTCTACCCATTTACTGTTGCACTGCACTGTTTCTTTAATCCAGACCAAATATGGCTAGGACATTTTATTTCACTGCTTCAGTGAAGCTCTTTTCTTCACTACCGTGATTATGAAGTGAAAACCCTTTTAAGTCCCATTGATTAAAATGGTAGATATTTAAACTCATGCTTACTCTTCAGCTGAAATCAAGGGAACTTTCATGTACTTTGGTTCGCTTCTGGGTGGCTTTGAGAAAGGAATTGCTGCTCAGTAAGAAATGTTTCCGAAGGCATGACAATTATACGAGCAGTTTCAAAGTATATGGAACTGCAATAGCATCCTCCAAAGGAAGGCTGTATCTCACTAGAGAAGTCTTTGAAGCATTCCATTAAGAGTTGAGAAAATAGTATCAATGATGGCAACTTTTAGAAATGTGGCAAGAGGAGCAGTGGAAGGAATTGCCACATGCAAGATGGAGTGGATGGCCATCTGTCATGGATGCTTTAGTTGAGATTCCTGTATTGCAACAGGTTGCCTGGGGTCCCAACACACCAATTGTTCTCTTAAAAAATCAGAGGCATTTCAGTCCACAAAGCTAAGAGACATATATTAAAAAATAAATAAATGCTGTAATAAAATTGTCTGTGAGTCAAAAGCATGTTAGGGATTGGAATGCAATTAATTTGAGAATTCAAACAGTTGTTTACTTATGCAGGTTTCCTCCCACATTTAACTGGCAGGATTTTGAACCATTTCTTCTTTTTTTGGGGGGGGGGGTATTCTAATGGACCTGGTTTCTTTGTTCCGTCAACATCTTCAAGGCTTAAACTAAACACACCTAGATGATCTGTAGCTAGCAGTGCATGATCTAACCTAAAGATTTTTGGTTCTCAGAAATAATCTTGTCAGTAAAGGAAAGAAAAACACACTGTAAAATGTGTATGCTTTGATCTCTTGAATATAATTGGACACCCGGAACACAGGAATAAGCTGCCTTAGTATAAGTCAGAACACTGTTCCATATAATGCAGTATTTTCTACATTGACTGAATTCAGTAGGGATGGGTGAATTTCAGTTTCTCTTAGCATTCTAATCATAAAATATTATCACATTTCCACAACAGTTTGCGGATGAAAATTCATAGCATTTTAATGTGAATTTCTGCTAATGTACACATTTTGGATGCAATTTTCCAGTGAATTTCTGAATGTTATGTTTGCAAACATATAAATTTCATGCACATTTTGATACATGCATTTTAATACACATTACCAAGCTGGAGAGCTGCCCTGAAACATTTGAAGAATGGCACATTTGAGAGGATGCTGTGCTCAGGCTGCGTATTGCTTTAGAAAGTGTGACTTCGGAAGATCTGCCTTTAAATGGAAACTGAACTGAATTTTTCCCCCATCCCTACCTGGCCTTCAGAGGTGAAGCAGGTGGGATAGGGCAAGAGCTATGGAGGCACAGGATGAGCTGCACCTGAAGATTCAATTATCTATCAAAAAGCCAAACTGTTAAAGCAGATTCTTACACCATCTTTAATCGAGGGAGGATGTTCCGAAAAAGCACCTAAAAGTTAACATGATGAACCATTACTTTGTGTTTCTAATATTCTCTCAGGAAGGTGAACTGATTTAATGTGAAATGTGAAATAAATTAGGATCAAGTTAAGGAGACCTGAATCTGGATCTGAAAGGACGTTCAGATGACATTTAAAAAGATGTGCCTGTATGGTGTGTGTTTGGTGTAGCTAAATAGACAGGCAGGCCTAGGCAAGGGCATAGACGTAGAATAGGCAAGCTATTCTGAACTTAATCATTCTGATCCAGCACTTGGGTTGCAGTGTATCAATATGCGCAAACACAGTGGATTCCACTGCACACACACAGAGAGATACACACAGTTTCCAGATTTGCCTTCTATATCTATAAACAGAGCAGGATTTTGCTGTACATGGGAAATGAAATGGAAGTACATCTCAAGGGGTCTGCTTCAGCTGTCACTGAGAAACGGCTCTGGGTACCATGCACAGTAAAAAAGAAGAAGTGACAAATAAATATTAATATTAGCTGTGTGTTGCAGTCTTTTGCACCTGGCTTTTCCTCAACTAAGTCCATTATCTCTCAGATAAGATGACTAAAGGGGTAGCTGTAAGAAACCATCAGTCCATTAGTCTTTTTGTTTATCTATCAATAAGGCTATTTTCTAACTCATCCATTTTATAATGCTTTAATAATGAAAGGCACAGCCTCATATAAGTGCTGAGATCCATCTTTACATTCAATGGAATTCTGTTATTAAATTTACCGTATTAACATGCTGTGAAATTTTCATTGGAAATAGACAGCAAGGACTGGCTTCTTCATACTCACTTAGGTTACCATTTTCTAGAAACTTATATGACAGTACTGTCTCCTTGAAGTCAGAAACACTTGTAAAAAGTATGTGAAAAGTGGTCATTTTATCCATTATGGTTATTTGAATATGTATTACACCGTCAGCAGGGGCGGAGGAAGGGGGTGCGGTGGGTGCGGGCCGCCTTGGGTGTCACCACTGAGGGGGGTGACAGAATGCCAGGCAGCACTCACCACGGGGTGAGCCACACGTCTCTCCTGGGATATATGGGGTGCCTTGGGCGCGTGCAGGCTCCATGCTGCCCAAATGGTCCATCCGCTGCCTCCCCCCCTCAGGACTCTGGAGGCCCTGCAATGTGCCCTGCCCCTATGGGCGGCTCGCCCCACCCCTGCGTGCATCACCCCAGGTGCCCGAGCGGCTTCCTCCACCGGTGACTGTCAGTGTGCTGCAGTGCTTTCTGGCAGAACGAATGCAAGTGGGGAAAAACAGGTCTCTGCCCAACTGAGTTTATAAACTACATTTCCACAGTCGGAAAGGGATTAGGAGGAAAGAAATGTAAACTGGGAAATGAAACCTGGTTTAATACCTGGGCCTTTTCGGCAGTGGCGCTCGCCCTGTGGAACGCCCTCCCACCAGATGTCAAGGAAATAAACTTTTAGAAGACATCTGAAGGCAGCCCTGTTTAGGGAAGTTTTAAAAGTTTGATCTTTTATTGTGTTTTTAATATCCTATTGGAAGCCGCCCAGAGTGGCTGGGGAGGCCTGGCCAGATGGGTGGGGTATAAGTAATAAAGTATTATTATTATTATTATTATTATTATTAAATACTTCAGTAGGACTCATGTGATCAGCTGCATGAGCTGGAGGACTGGCACTGGACTTAAGTGTGAAGCTTGGAATCGCTTAGAGGAAGGCTGAGGAATCCTGGGCTCTCCAGAGGCTGTGGGGCATCAGTCTCAGCCAGCACAACAAGTGTTATGGATGGTGGGAGTTGTAATCCAGCAACATCTGGTGAGCCAAAGGTTCCCCAACCCCAAGACAGACCCTATCCCCACTATGCATTTAAAGCTGTATCATAACACTTTCAGTAGTCATGATTCCCCCCACAAAGAATCTCGGGAGCTGTAGTTTGCTGGTTTGTTAGGAAACCTCTATTCCCCTCACAGAGCAGCACCAGATTTAGGGCTGCATGGGTGGTTCTCACTCACAGGGCACCGATGACAACAACCTATATTTATATGGGTACCTACTGAACATATAAAAAATAGCTGTACCAATTGCATATAGTTTTCATCCAGAAAAGTAATTATGCCAGGTCCTGCAGGAATCAAGTTCTGAAATGCATAGGACTTCACCTACTCAAATGACCAATAACTCCCAATGATTTCAACGAGGATTAAGCATAACTGTCTTATTTCTGATCTAAGTTCAGTACTATGTTTGAGCTTCTTGTACCAGAAAACAAAACAACATAGCTTGCTATTTTTGAATGGCAATGTGCTATATAGTGGTATCTCCGTTTACGAACTTAATTCGTTCTGGAAGTCCGTTCTTACTCCAAAAGCGTTCTTAAACTGAGGCACGCTTTCCCCAGTGAGGCTTCTCGCCACCGGTGCCCTTCTACCGTTCAGCTTCCATTCAGCTTCCAGGGCAAAGTTCACTAGTCGGAACACCTACTTCCGGTTTTGCAGAGTGTGCTGCCCGAATCGTTTGTTAACAGGACTGTTCTTAGACTGAGGTACCACTGTATTTTTCTTTTTATGCCATTTGATCTTGAACCAGCTGCAAGGTGGCTTTCACATGGATGTAAAATCCAGGACACAAATTGCTTGAAATATATTGCTCCCTGTGGTGAGTAAACCTGAAAGACTGGCGTTGCACTTATTAGTGCTTAGAATCTTTGTAGGTTAAATCCTTGTACAGTTTGCATAACCTGCATTTTTTTCTTTCACTTGAGATCCCTTAGCAATCATTGAGCTTGAAGTAGTCATTGTTGATTAGACATTACACATGCTAGGTGCACAAATTTGATTGCTTTTGCATATTTTGCCAACCACATCTTCAATTATTTTGCTAAGTAAACAGAGAAGATTGTCATTAACAAACAATGCACACTTTAAATTAAGACTGCAGTTAACTTTTCATATCTTACTTTTAAAAAAAAAATCCTCAAGATCTTAGTCCAAAAATAAAATATTTCCAACAGAATGCTTACTTTTAAAAATAAAATAAAATAACCCCCCCTAAATGGTACATATTGATTGGTTTCATATTGATTTGTATTGGCTTTCAGTGATTATAATCATTAGTGGCTATATTATCACTTCTGTGGAATAGTATTTATTCACAGAGAACCTTCATACCATATCTCACAAGATTTATGTGGTCGGTCCTATTGCAGAATAAGTCAGCTGCCTCAGGCAGAGGATGTTGGGGTGGCAGGTGTTAGGATTCTTGCCCCGTGCTTGCAGTCATGGGATTGTTTTTAATCACATCATGATGTATGTCTTCATTCCACATAGTGGGAAGTGACGGAGACAGGATGTTTATATTACTGTGTTCCATGATGTGGGACTATTGTCCTTTGTCTCTTTCTGATGAGAAAGAGGAAGGAGCTGAGTCAAGATGCTCCGAGTGTATTATATGTAAATAAAGTAGATTAGCCAATATTGCTGAGCTACTGAGTCTGGTACACCGACTGCTAACACTCTGCTGTTTCTAAAGTGTGCTGATACCTCTCAGAGGTATCAGTCACTGTGATGTTCGGGCTGGATAAAGCTTTTGAAGCTCCCCAATGACAGACCAGGAGGGAGAGAACATGCCAGTCGGGCATCTGTCTCTATTGGATGCCTACTCGCTTGTAGGACGCTCCTGACAGCAGGGGAGTGCTTTTGAGGCCTTGGAGGACAGAGCTGTGTTTACCACATAGCCTACTCTGTATCCCATTTGCAGGTTTTGCCCAGATTTGCAGTAGGGACAGCCAGTGTTGAAATAACACTGGCTTCTGTATATGGGGTTGGAGGCATCTTGTCCTTGCATCTGGAAAAAAAATCCTGGGACTGGCCCAGAGTATTTCAAGGATGAGAATATACTGAATAAGTTTATGCACTGCCACTGCTATGCTATCCCACAACTCCCACTGCAGATATTCAGTCAGATACAACACATGCAAAGGGCTTCAGAGGAAGATGACCACAATCTATCTACAAGTACTGATCTGTGTTGGTCCAGTCATTCCAGAAATAGGGTAAATGATAATTGGATGCAAAGTATGCATGTTTCAAGCAATCTTTATAATATTTTGTTTAAAAAGAAAAGAAAAGAAAAATGACACAGACGAACCTAATAACTGGAGTCATTTATTACCTTGGAAACCTCCAGTTCCTGGAATAATAAGATAAATACGTTTCATTGCAGAGCTTATAAAATGAAAATGAGAAAGCAGTTTTGTCAAATTTGCAAAATCCAATTTGGAAAGTACCAGCACATTAGCTTATAACAAGACATGATGAATCTTTGAATCTGTTCAACACACACCTCTACACATGCCTCATAAACACCATTATATTTTAATACTTCACTTATACATAATGAATAAAGTTGCCCTGGAGCATTTTGAGGGGAAGTTGTTGCTCTATGGAATTAGGACCTTATGTGCTTCACACCTTTAAAAGGAAATAGTGAATTGTTTAGCATACAAGCATTGATGATCAAGGATTGATTTGGGCAAAAAGATGTTCTTATTTATTTATTTAACAGCCATTTTCAACCACTTAATTTTTTTTGGGGGGAGATGTTGAAACTTTCCAAGAACACAAACTTTTTTTAATTTACAGGGCTTTACATATGACTTCTTTTCAATAGAAAAGATAAATGTGTTTTCACCCATATGCATAGGACCCCTGGACAACATCAGGACAACTGAGCACATGGGTGGAATTGGCCAAATTGACTGACTTGTGTTCTATCTTCTACAATCTGTAATTGCAAAGAAGTATCTTAGCATCAAGATTTCCCAGTAGTGATGTATGAAAGTGAGAGCTGGACCATAATGAAGGCTGATCGTCGAAGAATTGATGCTTTTGAATTATGGTGCTGGAGGAGACTCTTGAGAGTCCCATGGACTGCAAGAAGATCAAACGTATCCATTCTTAAGGAAATCAGCCCTGAGTGCTCACTGGAAGGACAGATCATAAAGCTGAGGCTCCAATACTTTGGCCATCTCATGAGAAGAAAAGACTCCCTGGAAAAGACCCTGATGTTGGGAAAGATTGAGGGCACAAGGAGAAGGGGACGACAGAGGACGAGATGGTTGGACAGTGTTCTCGAAGCTACAAACATGAGTCTGACCAAACTGCAGGAGGCAGTGGAAGACAGGAGTGCCTGGCGTGCTCTGGTCCATGGGGTCACGAAGAGTTGGACACGACTAAACGACTAAACAACAACATCTTAGCATCAAAGATGGCTGCTTCTCTGATCGATAAAGCTGCTTAGAGTTGAGATTTTTCCTGCTAACCTGCAGCATTGTAACCTCATGTCTTGCTTTTCTGGAAGTCACTATCGACTGAGGACCACTGTACCTCAAGAACATAATGCCTCAGACTCTGATATGGTCATTTGAGGCCCTTCTTCATGTGGCTTCTCCACAAGAGATTGGTGACATGAGAATAGACCTTTTCTGCAGTGGCTCCCCATTTGTGGAATGCTTTCCCCAGGGAGGCTCACCTGGCACCTTCATTTTACACCTTTAGATGTAAGGCGAAAATGTCCTTCAACCAGGCCTTTGGCTGATTAACATCCAGTACCCCTTTAAATGTATGGGTGGATTATTGTTCTGTTATAGGGACACGGGTGGCGCTGTGGGTTAAACCACAGAGCCTAGGACTTGCCGATCAGAAGGTCGGTGGTTTGAATCCCAGCAATGGGGTGAGCTCCCGTTGCTCGGTCCCAGCTTCTGCCAACCTAGCAGTTCGAAAGCACATCAAAGTACAAGTAGATATAATAGGTACCGCTCCGGCGGGAAGGTAAACGACGTTTCCGTGCGCTGCTCTGGTTCACCAGAAGTGCCTTAGTCATGCTGGCCACATGACCTGGAAGCTGTCTGCAGACAAACGCCAGCTCCCTCAGCCAATAAAGCAAGATGAGCGCCGCAATCCCAGAGTCGGTCACGACTGGACCTAATGGTCAGGGGTCCCTTTACCTTTACCTTTTATGTATTTTTATCTTGTATTTTTATTCTGTGAACCACCCTGAGATCTATGGATGAAGGGTGGTATCTAATTTAATAAATAAAATAATAAAAAGGAGCTTTTGCCACCCACTAAAGCATGTCACCTCGCAAGGGCAAATAAGCACACACTCTAGAACTGGGCCCCATGCAGGCATCAGAAAATATCCATATGCCTAATACTTTGTATGATATCTAAATGTCACAGCACTCCATGCCTTTGCTTTTCACCAGTGCTCCATTGGGGGAATTCGACATGGAACAAGAAAGGAACCATCTGTTTGGGGGAATGTAAAGCAGCTGCTCTCTTCATTGTAGCTGCCTTTGTGCTTATTAAACTTGTAATTCGCAACTCTTTCTTTTTTAATTAAACAAATTCTTGGTTACTTGTTACAGAGCAAAAATTATCACCCAGAACTCGGAATTTTAGTCGAAGTCAACAAGAAATGAAATACACTCCTGTGCATTTAAAATGGAATTAAATTTATGAGGCATATGGAGTACAGCGCCGCAGAAACAGACAGCAGTCCTATTGTTATTAATTCTGCAAGTACTAATGCTCAGAGAGGAAAAAGAAAAAAAATACAACCCATTGTATTGCTTGTAGTTCGATGCCTCTGCTATTATTTCAAGCTGTGTTTCATAAGACACACCCACCATGTATGTTAGTGTCACCTTTGCATTGACAAAAAGATGCACCTGCTCAATTTAAATGTCTCACAGCTGTTATATGGATGTCCAAGATGCTGCTTCAAGAGGTCATGTCAGAAGCAATAGCCTTTGCATGCAAATTGTATTTGGAGTAATAGGTGATTCTTTCCAAGGTTGTGATGTCAAGCCAATTGTGAATGTGGGTGGAACTATTTTTAGGTGCATCAAGTGATTCAGGGATGGGCTAATGCTCTATTTAAAGGCAGATATAAGAGAAATATTCAGACTGATCTAATTTAAGAGTTTTTGAATTATGGTGCTGGAGGAGACTCTTGAGAGTCCCATGGACTGCAAGAAGATCAAACCTATCCATTCTTAAGGAAATCAACCCTGAGTGCTCACTGGAAGGACAGATCCTGAAGCTGAGGCTCCAGTACTTTGGCCACCTCATGAGAAGAGAAGACTCCCTGGAAAAGACCCTGATGTTAGGAAAGATGGAGGGCACAAGGAGAAGGGGATGACAGAGGACGAAATGGTTGGATAGTGTTCTCGAAGCTACCAGCATGAGTTTGACCAAACTGCGGGAGGCAGTGGAAGACAGGAGTGCCTGGGGTCACAAAGAGTCGGACACGACTAAATAACAACAACAAAATTTTAAGAGTTCAAGTGTTTCAACGATTCTCATTCTTGCGGGGCTTTGAGGAGAGAGGACAGTTTTTAGCTCTTGCCCCTGTGGTAGATGACAAGGTGTACTAAGCACATAAGAATTGCATTGCTGACCAAAGCTCCGTTTAGTTCAGCTCTCTACCTGTAAGAGTAGCCAGCATTGGAAATTCTTAATTGAAACCTTGCTAGTCTCAAGCATCTGATATACAGCGAATAGTGTTTCCTCTGAATAGTGAAATCCCATTAAGAGAGCAAAATACAACAGATCTATTATCCACATCCATATTTAATAATCTTTTAAAGTCATCACAGTTGTGGCTATTTCTGTATCTTGGAGCATTGAATATCACGTGTTAATTTTAAATGAAAAAAATGACTTTTGTTTGCTTGTGTGAGCCTACTACCAAAGAATTTTATTAGATGACCCTGAGTTATATTATTTTGAGGGTGATAACTTCCCTATTCATTTACACATTTCATAATTCTATAGACCTCTATTGTGTTCTCCTGCTTATGTAGGTTGGCATCTGTCTGTCTCAAGAGCCACTTGAGAGTGCCTCTGGGAGTGAAGTAAAACTGTTGTGTTAGCAGTACCAAAGTGTCCTCCCCAGAGCACAAGCCTGGGCTGTGCGTATGGAGGTCCTGGGCTACCCAGATGCCAAGACCCTCAGCCTCACTGATGTGGTTGAAAGGAAAGCAGAGCAGGATGTTTGACACCAGCTTGGCTGCAGGAATTGCTGGAAGAAAGCATACAATGTACCACCCAACCATTTTCTGGACATGACTCCGAATTTGTGTAGGGATTACTCCTTAGCCTTTTCTCCTGAAGATATCCTACAAGACAGTGGAGGTATAATATCAGAGTTTTCCTTCTCCTAGATGAGCTACGTGCCCAAGTTGATGAGCCCCATCTGCCCCTCACTTCCCTCTACAGCAGGCATAGGCAAACTCGGCCCTCCAGATATTTTGGGACTACAACCCCCATGATCCCTAGCTAACAGGACCAGTGGTCAGGGATGATGGGAATTGTAGTCCCAAAACATCTTGAGGGCTGAGTTTGCCTGTGCCTGCTCTACAGCATGTACAGAAACCGCCTTCTTGACTTTTGGAATCTCTCCCCCCCCCCCCTCAGATTATTGCTCAATCTGCCAGAGCCTGTCTTTGCATGCGGGGTAAGTCCCTAACTCACTGATAGTTGAGACACATCAGCTACAACCTTTCCCCCACCAAAGATATTACCCTTCCCCTAACACCTCCATTAGCATTAGCTTATAATGCTAAAATAAAAAGATCCAATGTCTTCCGTTTTTCTTCACAGGAAAAAAGTTCAGACACCACCAGCACCCCTACAATCATTGTTGCTTGAATTTCATGCATCTTGTCAAGTGCAAAATGGGGTTGTATGTTTTATTATGTTTTCAATGACTTCTTCTTCTTCTTCTTCTTCTTCTTCTTCTTCTTCTTCTTCTTCTTTTGTGAGTCTTACCATTGTATCTTTCCATTACATGGCAAACCTGTTCCACTTTCTTATAAATAAATAATCAAGTTGTCTGTGTTCCCTCACTCTTAGAATATTGGTTAATCTTACATTGTCAGCTAATTAACAAATTCTTACTATCCAATCTTCTAACTTTATATTCTAATCCACCCCCCACCCCAATTCTAACATACTGGATCAAGAGCCTCTACCGAGACACACCCTTTCACTTAATCTACTCACACCTGTCTATTCATCTAGTTTTGAATGATCCTTTGGGAGCTCTTCAGTTTGCTTGGGATTTTACAATCTGGAATCATTTATTGTCATCTGGAAACTTCTCCACTTCACTGTTTACCTCTTGATACCTGCCTTTACTCAGGATACTTCTCAAATCTGTGGCTGTGGACAATGGCATTGAACTGGGCACATGGGCAGCATATGATATGTGGAACATCTACCACATCAGAGATGCTTGACTTGGCACAATATTTAAGAATTTGCAATTTTAAGAGAAAATATTAGTTCCAGTTAAGGTTCCTACTGTTGTGAAATGAAGAGCAGCGAGACAGAAAAAGACAATCTTCTCTTCTCTTAGGGGTGATAAGCATATGGAGGAGAGGAGACAGAGTTTCATTCAAATTCCTCCCTTGGGGATTGAGGTATGATATTTTACTCTGCTGAAGAAAATGGGAGTTGAGTCTGCAAATTGGATCAGTTTCTGTTTAGGTTCCTTCAAGCTGGCAATTGCTTTCAATGGACGATTTCTAGGACATGGGGGTCATATCTAAAAACTAATGTTGATGTTTGCTTTCTCCAACATTTTCCAATGAAGATGTTTTGGAGAAGATGGCTATTGTCTTTATACATGTCCTAAACACCGTGCCTCTTTCTCATTGCTCTGAACACCTTTGTGGGGTGACATCTCACCTGTTATTGGCATTTAAGCACAATTTGGAAATGCAATTTTCTTATTTAAACTGAACTATTCTAGTCCCATAACCCTTGTTTTAGCATTTGGATCTATAATCTTTTAAGTGATGATTCAGTTATTATCCAAATTGTGCCCTGAAATTTCCTTGGCAATCTAGTGGCTTCTCTCTGAGGAACATCGTATTCACAGAACCTAGCTAGACGCAGGCTCATGGCTTCTGTATTCTCAGGTTACTGAATGCTACCATAATAAGGCACTTGCTGTATTCTTGTTCTCCCACCTTTTGCTCCACTTACTCTAATTTACCTTTCTGCTACTATAGTAACCTGGCCGACAGCTTCCATTCCCTAAGTACATTGGTATAATTTGGTGGTACATGTAGAGCTCTTCGCTGTTTCTCCCTGTCATTTACAAATGTTTGAAGAAAATACCAAATCCATTTGTCCACCTCCAGTAGGACCAAACTACACATCATCAGATCTCCCAACTTTTCCTTTCCTTTTAAACTTTTAAACAATAAAAACAGTTATGAGTGAGGAGGCTTTAATTTTTCTCCCTATGCCACTTACATCAAAATAACTTACACAAGCTGTTAACCTCATGTGAGAAAAACACAGACACAGATGCTATGTATATTGGTCTCTGTAAAATATGTATTTTTCTCTATCACTTGGTCTGCTGTTGGATTTCTAGATGTTCATTTACCTCCTTGCTAGAGGCTAGAAGGAAGCCTTGGCAAATGAAAAGGCTAGTCTTGCCCATTGATTCATTGTACAGATCAAGACTATTGCCAATTGGCCATCAACACCTGTCACTCTAGGATTACATCCCACATTGTGTCATTCACTTTAGAAAGATAAAACCAATTGTCATGGATGTAAAATTATCATAAGTGGTTTTCTCTTTAAGTACCATTAGTAAGCTCTATTAGGTAAATAGTCATTCAGTGAGCAGGAGCAGGAAATACTATGCCAGATTCTGTTATGTCTTGCATAGTTTGCTGGAAATATATATATTTTTTATTTATATTCTATATAAAAGAAATCATAGACAGCCCCTCGTACAAAATATCCAAGTGGTGTATGACAAAATTTAGAAAAGGGATAAAATATCTTTAAAAGTAACACAGAGTAATCATAAAAATCACTGGCTCATCTTAAAAGCTTAAGAGAGCAATTCTAAGTATAGGAAAGCAGTATGAGAGGTTAAGCTGGCATCCAAACTATGTCCTACCAGTTTAAACCTGTCTGAACATATAGTTGCCTTTGTTTTAATTTTGGCCCTTAGCATTAATGTAATCTGTCTTCAAATATATGTAAAATACAGATACATGTGGGAGGGATAATGCGTCCGCAACTACTAAACAAGCTCAATGCAGACAGGCAATAACATATTACAATGTCATTTTAAAAGGAGTCAAAATTAAATTCCACTTCAAATTGATTGTACAATGAGCCCATAAAGAAGTTAAATGCGTTTTTGCAAGAAATTGTTAAAGCTGCCCAAGTAATTGATTTAAAACTGACGTTAGCCTCAATAGTCACTGCAGGGAAACCACATACAAGCTACTTTGTGGTCCTTGTGTAATATCCTGCCATTGCTCCCTCACACACAGAGACACACACTTCCTAATTTATTGTGCAATAGGTTGAGAAATCCATTTTTATTTCCCCATTATTAGAAAAACTTATTTCTCATTACTTTGCTCTTCCATTAAACAAGGGATAGGGCCCCTCGGGTCAGCAGCGGAGCAAGTCGATTGGGCGCCTGGGACAGCATGTGTGCCCTGAGCCAGCTGCTCACGAGGACACCGTGGGACCCCAAGGAGTCTGCCTGCCTCCTCCTCCTAAGCCGCCCTACAGTTGAGGGGAGGCAATGGGCAGATTGTTTGGGGCAGCACAGAGCCTGCGGACACTCAAGCCACCACATCACTCCCAGGAGAGACGCGTGGCTCGGTGCTGCAGGCCCCACAGTGAGTGCTGCCCACCATTTTGTCACTCCCCTCAGTGGGGACACCCAGGGTGGATCACACCTATCACACACCCCTTGCTATGCTCCTGCCTCTGGCTCTCCCGATCTTGTTGGACTGCAACAGAGGAACTTACTAGCTAAACCTCAACAGTGAGAGAGATGACAAAAGAAAGGAACTTCGTATTCTTTCCATTCTAGTGGATCCAATACGGAGCAGGCTGTGGCATCCTCAGGTTCCTCATGATACCTTTGCACATTTAACATAAAGGTCTGAAGAAGGTTTCGAAGTGCGTAAACCTTTCTTAAGGTTTCTGATTGTGAGAAGTTTTGATGCGTGTTCTGTGAGACAAATTGCTCTCTTCAAACTAAACACATGAAGATATGCAGAGAAGCCTCCATGTCTGGAGACTTTGCTAGTAGGCCTCGCGTGTGTGCTTCTGCCCCCTCTGGATTTTATTTAATTTTCTTCTATAATTTTTACTAAATTTTCTGTTTTACATTTTAGAATATTCATTTAAACAACCTGAAAATGTCATTTTACATAACAGAAATCCCTGCATATTTTACATAAATTAAACCATTTGGTATTCCATTATTACATCCAACAAAACTTATTTATACTGTTGAATTTATCTTAATGCTGCTAACGTTTTCAAATGTATACAAGTTCCCCCAATATATTCAATAAAAAAATTCCAATCTTCTTTAAAAGTATGTTCTTCTTGTTCTCTTATTGTGTATGTAAGTTCCACAAGCTGGACATATTCCATAGTTTAAGTTGCCATTCTTCATTAGTAGGGACCTCACTTGTTTTCCATTTGGGGCTAACAAAACACAGGCTGCAGTAGTGGCATACGTAAATAAAAAATTTTGACACGTGGGAATTTCCATCTGAGTTATCCCCAACAAAAAGGATTATGGTTTTTGTTTTCATTTTGAAAAGCACTTTTAAACATTTTTTTTCCAATTCATTATGACTTATTTCCCAATACTCTTTTACCCTTTTACAGGTCCACAACATATGAAAGAACATATCCTCAACCTCATTGCATATCCAGCACTTATCTGATTCAGTCTTATACACAGGGCCGGATTTAGGTTTGATGAGGCCCTAAGCTACTGAAGGTAGCGGGGCCCTTTATATGTCCAACTTTCCTTTGTCAACAACAAATTACCACTGTTTTTTGTGTTGAATATATGGTATTTATGGACCTAATAGGTATCTAAAGCCATTTGCATGTAACAAAATATGTATTTTATCAAATTTGTTTGTTTTTTTATCTTATATTTTGGAAATGTACATCCAGGTTTTTTTCTTTAAATTTTTTGGGGGGCCCTAAGCTATAGCTTGTTTAGCTTATATGTAAATCCGGCACTGCTTATACATTTTAGAAAGCCTTCTTGGAGTTAAATACCATCTGTGAATCATTTTCAGGTAGTTCTCCTTCAAGGGATAACATGCTGTAAACATCAGATCACTCTTCCAAAGTTTTTCCCAGAGATTGAAATCTATATTATGTCCTTTATCTATTGCCCAATGTGTCATTGATGCTTTGACAAACTCAACTTTTGTCTGCCCCCCCCCCCCGCCCTGCATTTTAAGGTCTTCAGTGTTCAGGCAGGTGCCTGAATCAGGGGGACTTTCATCGGATATCAATCAATCAACAAAGTGTAGGCATAGCCTAACTTACACAGCTTTTATGTGTGAATTGAGTCAGATATAGTAATTTGTAATGTGGTAATTAGTACTATGTCCCTTTTTCCTCTGTGGGAACTATTTTTATCATAACACACTGGAGTGGATGTCTGATTAATACTTTAAGCACATCTAGCTCACCTCTTTTAAACTTGGCAATGTATCCAGATGCATAACATTAGGGACCGAAAAGAATGGAAGAGAAATTTTTCTTCAAGGCACTAATTGGCAGAACTGGGTCAGCCTCCTAGCAGCGCCTTCATCCCTGGCAATGTTTGAGACAGAGAGGTGCCTAAGTCTGAGATGTTGTGTTTTAAATATGACCCGTCGGTGTGGTGTTTTCGTTTAGAAAGGGAGGCTCGTGTGGGATGTGAAGTACTCTTTGAGATACATCCTGAAGAGGGTAAGATGACAATAATTTAACTGTACTAGGTCACAACAGTATGTGGGAGGGCAGAGGATTTGGCAGATATATGAAAACCCATAGATGATGAAGCACAAAAATTATCCTTTCTGTACAAATCAAGACTGTGGCTGGCCTGCTCCCAAGTCCCAGAGTAAGCCATCTGCAGCAGAAATGTAACTAACACTGGAGCCTAGAGGAGACTTTCCAGAGCCTTTCACCTTGAGGATCTGACTGAAGAACTGTTAGGCTGTATACACACTATACGTTTAAAGCACCTGCCCTCAAGAATCTTGGGAACTGAAGTTCACTCCAGCACCCTTACCAAACTACAGTTCCCAGGATGGTTTGGGGGAAGGGTTGTGCTTTAAAGGTATGATGTACACACAGTTACAGTCTTCCTTTCCTTAAGTGCGGGTATGGAGAACTTGCGGCCCTCTAGAAGTAGTTGGAAGTAGTCCCATCATCCTTTAGCATTAGCTATGTTAGTTGGGGCTGTTGGGAGTTGGAGTACAATGGCCTCTGAAGCATCATAGGTTCCCCAACCCTATCTTAGAGCAATGCTAGAGCAATTTGCAATGCAACATATTAATTAAAATAGCATTCTAGCTTTAAAAACGAATAACTCCTGGCCTGCAAAAAGTTTTGTATCAATACTACTACTAATACTACTACTACTAAAATGATGATGATGCCACTCATTTGACTGGGTTGACCTAGCCACTCTGGGTGGCTCCCAACAGAATATTAAAAACACGATAAAACATCAAACATTTTTTAAAATAAGGCAATTATTTGAGAAGAAGAGAATAAATCACCACATGAAAATCTTCGCAATAATTTTTTGGTTTGGCCAGCACTGTTAAATTGATGTAAGAAAGAACTTTAGAAATTCATTTTTATGCCTCCTCATTCTTGCTTTTCTGAACAGCTGTCAGCAGTCCACCACAGCTAGACATGTAAGCCCATAGGCATTTATATTTTAATCAGATATTTTAAATTGACATGTAGGGTACCCATTGGAGAAATTCTTCTCTGCCTATAGAGATTAATTACAGTTATTCAAGGATCTTCATTAGGCAGGGCTTGGTCACTTAGCAGTGAAGGTGGAGATTAGGAGCTGCCCTCTCTCATAGGAGCATTGCCATTGAAATAGTTTTTGTGTGTCACATCATGTGATTTATTATGCAGGTGGGACTTACCTGGGCTCCCCCAATATTTTATTCAAGTGGGTATTCCTGCCTTCTCTGCAATGGTACCCCTAAGAGTAGCAATTTCTTTTCCTCCATTGTAGTGAGTAGCGGTGTTCTAAACTCCCATTGTTCTAGGCGCATTTTGCAACAGGGAATTTCATTAGCGCAAGCAGTTTCTGAGCACTGGGTGCAGTACTGTGCCTAAGATTTCAGATTAAAACTGTGCAGTGGAAGAAAAGGAGGACCTTTTTCTGCCTTCCCACTTCCAGCTACTCTCTAAAGACTGGAGAAGAGACCCTCTTAAGAATATTAAGGTGGTGAGCAGGGGAAGGACTAGACCATGTGAAAAAGGAACATAATATTTTAGCTGCAGTTCATTCATTTCCAGCTTTGCATTCATGTTATTAAAAAGTGCTCCTAGACATTTTGTTGTTGCACCCATAACCGAGGTTTAAGGTGCCATTTAGCTCATAGCTTTCATAGCTCAATTTCTAACACTGGTGAGTAGCTTTCTCTTAATTTGTATGGGAAAAGGCAAAGGTGAGTAACTCAAGGATATGATATGGCTGGAACTAAGCCTAACCCTTGCCCCAGTGACTGCTGCCATTGAGGAAGTAGTATACTCTTATCTGCATAACAATGCCCCCATTCACCTGAAAAGCTCCCTCCTATGTTCTGTTGCTTTGGTAGTGTGACTGTGTAACAGAATGTTGAGGAAAGACTTTCAGAAAGGCAAAATGTTGCAGTGTATAGCAACACACTAAGGACTTCAGGTCTCTAGTCAATCTGGGAAAATACTGACTTCTCCACTGTAAGAGCTACAAGATGATTTTGAATTATTTTTTCTATTTTGTAGTTGGTATTTTCAGATTAGAGCTCCCTTTTTCCTTTTCTTAAAAAAGCCACGTGTATCAGGGTTTTGATGGACAGAAAATCAGTACTGCAGGTGCCATAACAGTATGACAGCTAGCTCCTCTGCTGCCTCTGATCAACAGCAACTGCAGCTGAGGAAGTCAATATAATGGAGACTGTTGTTCTTCCATTATCCAAGAGGAGAGTGCCAAAATCACCAGAGTGTGTCCTTTATGGCTGATGGGAATCAGCTTCTTTCCCAAATACTAAGAAGCAATTCAGTTAGAAAGAAATAAACGAGCATATATGTTTGTGTGTGCCATAGATACAAGCACAATCAAATGTGCATGCACACATGCATATGCCAACAAACTTGGAGTATGACATATAAACATAAATTGCCAAATTCTACTCTATAATAACTTTTGCATTGCAGTAAAATACTCTTCTGGACAGCATAGGTAATCATTCCCTTTTGCCACTGATAAAAGATTGTAATAGCCCAACTTCAATTCATCTGCTATGGGGAAAATATGTTTTGTTTTATTTGTAACTGAAATCTAACACTTCCATCAAGTCTTGCTGATCCAAGGAAAGTTACTTTCATGCCTAAATGCTAAGAACCTCCTCCATTTAGTATTATGTATGTTTAAAGCAAATTGCACTTTCTTTAGGAACAAAAAGGAAGGGGGGAATGGAAGAAGCAGAGGCAGCAGATGAAAGCAGCAGGTGTCCCTGGAATTTTATAAAGAATGCACAGATCTGAATGCACAAACTCAGATTTTCTTCAATCAGCTGAAGAAATCCCCTTCCTCACAATCTTCCTTAAGCCAGTGGTTTTATGTTGCTTTTTCCCGAATAGCATTTGATGAGCTTAGAGCTGTAAATATATACCTTATACATACCTCTGCACAAATATGTATAATCTAATTCCCTGAGTGACATTACTGAATGACAATTTACTGACATAGATTAATGTTCAGCTTTGCAGTTTGATGCCATGTTGGATTTTATAACTATTTATCACTTTTATCAGGGACGCTGCGATTGGGTGGCTGGATTGGAAACTACTGAACCTTCCCTTTACAGTTTGCTATTAGATTAGTTAAAAAACACACAACAACCCTCTGACGGTGAATCTTCTCCTCTCCTCATTAGCTGGTGAAAGAATTGGGAAAAATGCTCTCAGTGAATCACTCACACAGCCAGCATTAAATGTACATCTGTGAAATTTGTTGTGATTGCCCAGGGATTGCATGTAGAAGACTGGAGCAACCATTTCCAGTTCTGAGACTTATGTGTATTTGTGTGCATACTGTGTGTGTGTATACACACACAGGGCCGGATTTAGGTTTGATGAGGCCCTAAGCTACTGATGGTAATGGGGCCCTTTATATGTCCAGCTGTCCTTTGCCAACAACAAATTGTCACTGTTTTTTGTGTTGAATATATGTGACATGGTAATTCATGGACCTACAGTGGTACCTCGGGTTAAGTACTTAATTCATTCCAGAGGTCCGTTCTTAACCTGAAACTGTTCTTAACCTTAAGCACCACTTTAGCTAATGGGGCCTCCTGCTGTTGCCGCCACGCCACTGGAACACGATTTCTGTTCTCATCCTGAAGCAAAGTTCTTAATCCGAGGTACTATTTCTGGGTTAGCGGAGTCCGTAACCTGAAGTGTATGTAACCCGAGGTACCACTGTAATAGGTATCTAAAGCATATGCAGACTGTAGACACCTTATATATAGAAATGAGCTAACCAGTGATATTTTAGGGAGCAGGCTAGCAGGCGGGGCCCATTACTTACATTAAAGGAGCCTACACAACACAAAACACTGTTGCTGTATGTAGGTTTTGTTTTATTTTATTTTATCTTATATTTTGGAACTGTGCATCCAGGTTTTTTGCACACACACACACAGTTGATTGTGGCACACTGTGTTTCTCCTTTCAGTTTCTCCAGATCTTTTAAAACTAAATTCTAGAAGAGGACCACTTTCAGTATCTTATGCACAACTTCAAAATATGCATCCCAAATCCACGCAGCTCAGTGGTAGAGCAAATGCTTAAATCTCCTGTTTGATGCACAGTGTCTATGTTCTGGTGACACCTTCCTTATATGCAATGAATACTGTCCCTTCAGCTTTCTTTACAGTGCAACCCTACACACATATGCTCACACAGTGCTCACTGAACTCACTCAGCTGTGAGAAATCTCATTTAGTTCAATAGGGTTGTAGGAAGCTGCCTTCTGCTGAGTCAGACCATTGGCCCATCTGGCTCAGTGTTGTCCATGCTGCCTGGCAGCAGCTCTCCGGGGTTTTGTGCAAGAGCCTTCCTCCCAGCCTTGTCTGGAGATGCCAGAGATGGAACCTGTGACCTTCTGCAGGTGCTCTACAACTGAGCTGTGGCACTTACTTCTGACAGGGTTAGAACCATGCTGTTGATCTACATGGCTCCAAAAGTCCTCCCATATCCAACCTATAGACTGCAAGGGTATTCAAGCAGGGGCCTCAAAGCTTCCATTCGGGAGGCTAAAAAGCGATGGTATAGCAATGAAACCCATTATTACAATTAGAAAGTATGGCTCCACTTATATTGCACCAAATGGACCCTAAAGTACAAATATAAAGTCAGTTCCAGTCCCCAAATGTAATAACAGATGATGTCTAGAGAGAAACAATACCTCACTAACTGGCCTTACAACCTACCCGTTCATGGGGGGGAAATCTGCTCGTCATATCAAAAGGCCTTTGGCTTCACTTGAAATTCCTCAGAGGTTTTGTCTGAGGAGGAACTTAACACCTTCTCCTTGAATTCCACTTGAAGCAAAATCCTGTAGCAACCTAGCTAGCTGCAGATTCAAACAAGTGTTGCCTTGAAGCTCTTCAGGCGGTTCACCTGAAATGGAAGCCACAAATTTGCTTCTTATTTATCTATGGATGAAGTTTTGGGGGCAACTCTAAAAAGGTTGGGGGGGGGGGAGAGAGAGAGAGAGAGTACATTGGCCCCAGGTAGGATTGCTGTGAAAATGAGATTACTTATAGCTTGGGATGGCAGGTCAGCACATTGTTAAAAATACGCATTTGTATTCAGGCTGCACTGGCTAGAACATGATTAGCCCCCACCTTGCTGAAATGCTGACTTTAAAGAGACTCGTTGTGGGGTTTTTTATATAAAAAAATAGTTGGCAAAACACAGCTGCTTCTTTCGTATGTAGAAAGGCTTCTCTATCTCCACATCAAGCAGATATTCAATTTCTTTGCTGTATCAGGAGGAACAAAGAGTCAGTCTAAAGCTTGTTCAACCATATCTGTCATTTCAATTTTTCACACATTGACTTCTTTCCCATCTACATTCACACCTTGGTTCCTGCCCACTGCTACAAGCTAGTCTACAAAAAATAAAAATCGGATAGAAATTTATGTTAGCAGTTTGGAAAAAAAAAACCCAGCCAAAATCCATAGAAATATGAATTTCAAAATCAAATCAGAGCCTTAACTGAAAACAATGCCAAAGGCTTCCCCTTCTCCCAGATCAGGAACAGAGCATATTTCTTTCTTTTAAAAATATCTGGTCTTGATCACACATGCAAGTTCATCACTGTAACATCAAGTGGTGCCTTGTACGAATGAATAAGCAAACCATCACAGAGCAAATGGCACAAACAGATCTTTAATCTCACTTGCTTTCAACTTAAACAAATCTCAGATACAAGAGAATTGGTTCGCACATTCAAATGGAATGTGTGCATCCCAGAAAGGAACAGAACCAAATCAACCTACAAACAAGGGAAGAGAGACGACTGGTTCAGAATACATGTGGCAATATATGAATTTCACAAATAGATTGCCTCAGGATTCAGTGGATCCATGATCAACTTTTCCCTGTCCCACCCCTCTAATGCCCTGCTTCAGGTCCTAGGTAAAGGGTAAAGGGACCCCTGACCATTAGGTCCAGTTGTGACCTACTCTGGGGTTGTGGTGCTCATCTTGCTTTATTGGCCAAGGGAACCAGCGTACAGCTTCCGGGTCATGTGGCCAGCATGACTAAGCTGCTTTTGGTGAACCAGAGCAGCGCACAGAAATGCCATTTACCTTCCCACCGGAGCAGGACCTATTTATCTACTTGCACTTTGACATGCTTTCGAACTGCTAGGTTGGCAGGAGTAACCATGCAGTAGGTTACTAGATGGCAGGTGTGCTATTTCTCCCATTGAAACTTAGCCATTTGCTCACATTTTATTACCTGTTCACTAGTTTTTATGTGACATCTGACCCTTTCCTCAGGTTCAATAGGCTATTGGAAATCTTTTTTTGCTGCTACTGTAGTATAACCGATAAGTGCAAATTACGAATGGCAATTTCCCTCCCTAGTTTATGTCGCAGCCTTTCATTGTGTCCTGCCACAGGACCCATAATTAAGAAGCTGCAGAAGGGATGATTAAAGACCATAATAGATGAGGCAGTAATCATTCCAGTGATGGCTGTCCACACCATGAATTCACATGCTGCTGACTCAGAACAGAAGGCACTTTAATACCCTTGTAACTGGCTGATTGATTACCCATTTCATTGACAGACAAATGAATACATGCTAGCACATAAGAAAAAGAAGAAAGTAAGACAGGCACCCCACTTCTCTCGGAGGAGGTGGCAGTTTACAGGGGCTGAAAAACAGACTAACTTGCTGGAGGTTCTTGTAAGGAGGATAAGGTCTATTTGTCTGAAGTCTCACATGGCTCACCATATGTATTACTGTAGTTTAATAGTTGGTTGGAAGCCGCCCAGAGTGGCTGAGGAAGCCCTGCCAGATGGGCGGGGTATAAATAATAAATTATTATTATTATTATTATTATTCTCAGAAGATATAGCCCCTCTATAAGTAACAGAAGGATAGAGCCACACCAACTAGTCTAGCCCGTGACATGTTTTGTGACTAGCCCTGACCATGATATTGACATGTATAACCCCCGTGTCAGCTAGGACTAAAAGCAGGATGTTCCCCTATCCCAGTGAAACGTTTAACAGTTGGGTGGGGCAGGAGGGGGTGGTTTGGGGAAAAAGCATGTCCTCCCTCAAAGAGGGCATGTGTTGCGGTGAGACCTAGAGACTGACCTCCTGGTTGTGATTGGGTATATTGGATAGCCACAACACCTGATTGGTAGGTCCCTCGTTGCTGGGTTTAATCTGGCCAATGGGGAGCTGACTAAATGGACCGGGGGACCTATTTAATCCCTTGCACGTGACCCAGAGCTTCCTCTTTCGGCTCGTGCATCGGAACACCTGCCCACCTTTCCCTATATTTAGGGTCTTTTGCGATTGACCTTGCTGTGCCGTCATGTGTCCTCTGTCATTAGGACAGGGGCACGGCAAGAATTTTCCCCACTTGGTGGATTGGCTGTTGCCATTTGGGTTTCGCCTGCCACGCAGCAAATCGTCACAACTTGTAAGGTTGCAGATAGGCACTGGTTCAGGTGATAGGGATGGGAGACCGGTCTCACCATCCCTATGTGAAGGGTATTCCCTTAAAGGAATCCAGGGACTCAACTTAGTTTGGTCAACCCCCGAGAGGGGGTTGTGCCTGTGCCTTAGTCCAGGGGAGCATCTGCGGAGTGGACATAGTCTGTTCCCGGGCCTTCCACCTACCTCAAGTGTTCACCCTTGGCTGACCTATGATATAGCTCTGGGTCAGCGCTACCTGCAAGGGTGCAGGGAGCTAGTCGAACCAGAGCCTATGCAACTACTCACTTTCTTAATCAATAAAGTTGTGGCCTAAATTCTGCCAAAAACCAAAACTAAAATTTGAGTCAAGTGTGAGTTTCTTTAGGGGGGAGGCCTCTGGGTCTGAGCATGCAAAGACCTGTGGGCCAAATTGGGATGTGTGTGCATCAAGACAAAAGTGGATAAGATCTTGAAGTTTAAAAAATATTATTAAATGCATCCCCCGTTATTCTTATTGGCAGCCATTTAAGTGTGAAGAAGAATCAGTGGAGCAGCCATCAAAAGGCCACAAGGTGAGAGGGGGGAAAGAGTAGGTAACAGCAGAGAAAAGCTGCTACTGAATAATAACAATATATTACATACTTTGGAGAAAACCTACTGAGTTCAAGTTGTATTATTTCGCTTTGCCATTCAGTTTTGCAAATGGGGACATCTGTGTGCTTGAAGTGGTACTTAACAAGATAGTTAAATATCAATTTAGTTTAGCAGGATAGTCAAGCAGCAGAGTTTTCAACAGGAAAAATAAGCTTATCCATTTTAACATCTACCATTTTGTCTCATCTTAGGTCTGCCTTCCAAATCCAAAACATCTTTTTCTAGTGTACCTGTACAATTAGCATAAACTTTCCCTAATGCAAGCAGAGCATATCATATTTCCTTGGGGCTCCCAATAGTGGCCACTGCCACAAATATTTCCACACAGCATATTCAAGGACTGGATATTTACATGCAGTGGATCCAGTTCCCTCAATTCAACTCTGATAGAGCTTAGCCACATTCATCCTCTACTAAGTCAACAATGGACGACAAGCATAACTGTATAACTAGTATACATCTCGGTTTTAGCATATTGGTGCGCAGAGGAATAGGTATCACTTCTTGCCAGACTTCTTATTAGACACACGCCAGCAGTGAATTAGGAATGTCAACCAATTCCAATAAGAAGAATGTGGTTATATGGGGGAAGGTGCAACTATAAGTAATTCTAAGTTGTTAGAAATACAGATAGTATGGAATTAACATGCATAATAGCAGTAACTAAATTGCAACCTAGTCTAAAATTAAATAAAACCCTGTGTTTAAAACTATTACAAATTACAGGCATGATCCACTCCAACGTAAACATTTTAATATCCAATTGCTTCCACTGAAAGGTACTTACTTACTGTAGTAAGTAGATACCCAGTCTTCTCACTGAAATCAACAAAATATTTACTTTTGCATGCATTCCAGGCAAGTAAAACATTCCACTGCCCGAGACAGTTGCGCTGCCACTGCCTCCTCCTACCACTTCTGTTTTTGTACCATTGCTTGACAAAGCAGTAGCAGGATGGATACTCAATTCCTTGCTCCGAGGAAGGAGTCCTTACTCAGAGTTATACATTGTGGTGTTGCTTTGCTGTCAAGGGGGACAAATTCCTTTTCAAATATGTTTTAATATTATTTTAAATATTAAATGGTAATTGGTGGCCATTGCACAAAGCGGAGGTGGTGCAGGCACTCTCTGGGCAGCCTCAACTGCAAAGTGTTGCCCTGAAGAAGGACCCCTTCCTCAAAATGAAGAGCCATGTAACTGTAGTTCCACTGCTGTGTCAGAGGCAGCAGTGAGTGAGCGGACAGGTGAGTGGGTGGAAGGATGGAGGCAACAGCAGTAGAAGGAAGATGTTGGGGTGGCAATGTTGAGCCAGTCAGCCATGGAAGGTTGTTAGCCCTGCAGGTGGCAAATGGGATCACAAGCAACCACACATAACCCCAATCAGCTGCCTAAGCCTTGTAGCTCCGTATGGGTCATGCTAAGGGCAGCTCTAGTCTTTTAAAAGCAAACTCTCTTCAGGTCCAGTGTATGATACTATTCCACACAAATATTGGAAACCCTTTAGAATCCAGAGAACTTCATCCAAATGCTATTCTTGTTAAGAACCAGATATCATATTGATTTCACTAGTTTGCCATGACACATGCATCCAAAATGGAGTCAAACACAGAGAGATGTGTACAGTCACGTTCTCTACTTTCTGAAGCTACTTTCCCCACAACAGCCTGATCCCAATGGGATCAGACCAAGGATAAAATCTAGTGATATTTTATTTTTATTTATTATTTATACCCTGCCCATCTGGCTGGGCTTCCTCAGCCACTCTGGGCGGCTTCCAACAAAATATTAAAATACAATAGTTGGTCAAACATTAAAAGCTTTCCTAAACAGCACTGCCTTCAGATGTCTTCTAAAAGTCTGGTAATTGTTTTTCTCTTTGACATCTGGTGGGAGGGCGTTCCACAGGGCGGGTGCCACTGCCGAGAAGGCCCTCTGCCTGGTTCCCTGTAACTTGGCTTCTCGCAGCGAGGGAACCACCAGAAGGCCCTCGGTGCTGGACCTCAGTGTCCAGCAGAACGATGGGGGTGGAGACGCTCCTTCAGGTATACTGGACCGAGGCTGTTTAGGGCTTTAAAGGTCAGCACCAACACTTTGAATTGTGCCCAGAAACATACTGGGAGCCAATGTAGGTCTTTCATTATGTGGTCTCGGCAGCCTCTCCCAGTCACCAGTCTAGCTGCCACATTCTGGATTAATTGCAGTTCCTGAGTCACCTTCAAAGGTAGCCCCATATAGAGTGCATTGCAGTACTCCGGGCGGGAGATAACTAGAGCAGGGGTCAGCAACCTTCTTCAGCTGTGGGCCGGTCCACCGGACTATATTTTGAAGGTAAAAAGAATGAAATAATTCCTATGCCCCACAAAACCCCCAGAGATGCATTTTAAATAAAAGGACACATTCCACTCATGTAAAAACATGCTGATTCCTGGACCATCCGTGGGCCAGATTGAGAAGGCGATTAGGCCGCATCTGGCCCCCGGGCCTTAGGTTGTCTACCCCTGAACTAGAGCATGCACCACTCTGGCAAGACAGTCTGCGGGCAGGTAGGGTCTCAGCCTGTGTTCCAGATGGAGCTGGTAGACTGCTGCCCTGGACACAGATTAGCCAATCGCAGTTTGGAAATCTGGCCATACCATCAGGCCGAATGAAGCAGATGCCTCGAGTAGAAGATACCAGGGAGCTGCAAAGGACAGAAATGTGGTCTGCCCAGGACATACACACACACACCCTCTCCAAGCTAATTTGCTGTTCCTTGCACTATGCTGAAAGAAGATTCAGCTACCAGTCTGGATGGTTTTTGTATGTGTCATGGTGAAGGGGCTGCATCTTACCTTTTCTCTCAGACATTAAACTGTATTGGACTAATATGAACCTAAT